TCTGATGAAGGGTCTAGGCCCGAAACGTCAGCCTCTCTGCTCCTATGATGCTGCTTGGCCTGCTCTCACATACACAGTCCAGCCTGGGCCTGGAGGGTGAGGTAAAAGGGGACCCGGCTCTGTGGGCGGGACCAGGCTCAAAGGGGCGGGGCCGGTGGTGAAGGGGGCGGGGTGGCACTTGGGGGCGGATCCGAATTGGCTGGGCGGGGCCTTGGGTGATGAAGAGGGGTTGGGATTGAGGGTGCAGCCGAGTGTCGAGACGTGCCACGTGATGAAGGGGACGGGGCGGTCCCGGAGATCCGGGGTCGGTGCCAGAAGTGGGTGGGGTGGGGCGGGGCGTGGCACCGAGTGGGCGGGGTCGGTATCGCGATCGCCAATCAGAGCGGCGGCTTCGGTGGTGGGTGGGACAAAGTCGGGAATCACATGACACCAGGTTATAGTCCAACAGGTTTATTTGAAAACACAGGTGTTGGCGAGAGATTTAGAATCAGAGAATTTATAAGGAAAAGATCAAAGGGTCACACCATTGATGAGGATGTACTAAACAATCTTTAATCAGTTAGAAAGTTTTAATTGATTAATAAGTATATCCCCGAATTCCTTCAAGTCACGGTCCTGAAAGAACTAAAGGTTTTATTGGTGTAAAAAAGAGCTTACATTTTATGAACAAAAACAGAAGTTGCTGGAAAAACTCAGTAGGTCTGGCAACATCTGTGGAGAGAAAGCAGAGTTAATGTTTCGGTTCTGAGGAAGGGTCACCGGACCCGAAATGTTAACTCTTGATTCTTTCTTCACCGATGCTGCCAAACCTGCTGAGTTTTTCCAGCAACTTCTGTTTTTGTTATGATTTACAGCATCCGCAGTTCTTTCGGTGACATTTTAGGTCAGACAATACATGTTAGGTGTGAGATAACAGTGTAGAGCTGGAAGGGCACATCAGGTCAGGCAGCATCAGAGGAGCAGGAAAGTTGACGTTTTGGGTCTAGACCCTTCTGAAGCTTTCCTGCTCCTCTGATGCTGCTTGGCCTGCTGTATTCATCCAGCTCTAAACCTTGTTATCTGTTTTGGGTCGGGATCCTTCTTCAGAAATGGGGCAGGGGGAAGGGAGCTCAGAAATAATGGGGGGGGGGGGGGGAATGGGGCAACTCTCTCCGGAAACACATTGAATATGTTACATGTGAGGGCTTGTTTGGAATCTGATGGTGCTTCAGTTTGGAGTCAGACTGGTTTTATTTCTAAACTAGGTCAGGGCCACGGCTAAGGGACCACGGTGTGACCGATAGGCGTGCTCCGTGATGGGAGGAGTGGAGTCGGGCCTACGGGAGCGAGAAAGGGCGCGGCCAAGGACAAAGCTCACCAGAAAAGGGGCGGAGTCGGAAAGAAAGGGGCGTGGCCAGGACCGGGCCCATCGGGAGGGGCGGGGCCAAGGGTGTGTGTGTGCCTGGGCTATGAGGGGGGTGTGGCCAACGTGGAGGGTCAGGGACAATTTGGGGCGCGCCCTTCCGGGGCGCCCGACGCCCCGGAAGTGTTCGTGTTGCTAAGGGTGGTTAATGACGCTGCGTGCTGTCTGGAGAGGTGAGGAGAAGCTCTGTGTTGCTCAGGGTAGGCAGTCTGACTTTTTTTTTTAAAAATGGTGTTGCCATCTAGAACTTAACTTTATATCGCGCCTAAGAGTTTTTCAGACGCCAGTATTGTCGCGGTAGATATGTAGGAGATATGGCACAGAAATAGTCCACACAAATCCTCGTTTAGCTGATCTGTTTGTCAGAGGTGTTGGTTGAGAAATAACTAGGTCCTATGCTCTTCTATGGCAAATAAACTATGGCATTCTTGACTTTATCCAGAAAACAGGTAGGGAGGAGCTTGGTTTAACCCTTCATCTGAAAATAGATTTGAAAATAGAGGCATTGGCAAGACTATAGGAAAATTGTACACTGAATGGGGCATATTACATATTTCATACAAAAGTTTGGGTTAATGCCTTCCTGTTGGACTGTAAGACTTGAAAGACACACTTCTGACAGTGAAGCATCACTGAAGCATTGTCAATAGTTCAGGGGCAAATTGGCTGCAACCACATTGTTCTGACTTCAGAGTGAGAGTGATGCCACTGCCAGGCTGATACTGAGAAATCATCTTGGGCTTCCAAAACGTTTGTCAAGTTGTGCCCATAACTAATACTGGAGTACTGAAATTTGTGTTTTGATACTTGTCCATATGACATACAAATAAAATGATCAGCAGTGTTTCTGAAAGAAAAAGATTTAATCAGATTGTAGGCTTGTGCCTGTAATCTGTTCACATTCATTCACTGTCAGTTATTGTTTGTACACAAATGAGTTGTGGCATTTGCTCACAAACAATAACCACCATGTTTTACAAGTAATTAATTACTTACAGATCTCTTTGGGGCAGCCTAAGGATTGGAAAGGTGCTCCTTTTCTTGACGGTCACCTAGAACTACTCTGCAACAAGGTTCAGATGTGAGGTCTGCTATTCCACATCCTCCTACCAATTTACTTTGTTAAGGGTCTTTGTACTGACTGACATGTACAGAAGTACTGAAATTGGCTCAGTGATGGGTAGGACTCTTAGTCAGGACTTGGAGTGTGACCTGAACGCTGGCAAAGAGGTATATCTCCTACCCATCGTCTGGTTCACTAATGCCCTTTTAAGGAAGGAAATTGCCATCCTTACCTGGTCTGGCCTACATATGACTCCAGAGCCACAGCAAAGTGGTTGACTATTAAGTGCTCTCTGGGCAATTAGGGATGGGCAATAAATGTCGGACTAGCCAGCAATGTTCTCGTCCTGTGAATTAATTAAAAAATAGTTTGGGGACTCTTTGAATTTGTAAGGATTGGTTAAAAAATGCTGTTAGAAGTTAAACCAGAAGTAGGGTTTATTTTACACTCTCAGATTGAGGTTAAGACGGGGACCTTTGCAGTACACATGTACTTACATGCATACAAGGAGAGACACAAATCGAAGAAAATTAAGAGATTATGCAATTAGCGAAAATTCAAGTGCAGGGCAACTAAGGGATGCCAATTTGTCAATATCCTTGCTTTTAAGATGTAGTCCAAAAGCCAAAGCTGGAGTCAGTAGTCCGGAATTTCTTTGTGGGGGAGATTGGCTATAGCTGGTAGTTCAGGAGCCACACATGGTTTCCTCTCTTTAAAATTGTCTCAATGGTTGTCTGAACAATATTACTGAAATGTAATTTTTAGTTTTGCTGTTTTGACAAAGGAAGTGTAGAGAGCACAGATACAGGTTTTTAACTGCTTTTTACAGGCCGGAGGCTTCTACTTTGTGGACAGGACACAGGGGTTTTGATATCATCACTAGATGTTGAATCAGTGCTGGTCTCTTATCTGACTGCTATTTCAAATTGTACAATTTAAAGGCACTTGAGTTCAGCAAAGTGTAAGTGTAATGTGTAACGTAGCCTTTAGGGGGTGAAGGAAAGTCATTACCATCAAAACTAAGGTTTTCAAAAGCCATTAACACGTTTTCCAGCGTAGAGGTAGTTTGTAAATCTGAAACAAAAAATGAAATTGCTGGAGAAACACACTGTCAGCTTCAGAGGAGAGAAAGCAGAATTAATGTTTTGAATTCAGTGACCCTTCTTTAGAACTGATAGTTGCTAGGAAAAGGTGGAATGTACCATGAAGACGGGATGAGGCGAAAGAAGTAAACACTTAAGTGCCCAGAGAGACAGTAGGTGAGTAGGTGAAAATGGATTGGCTCTGATAAAAGCAGTCCATGTCCTGACAGAGCCTGGTGTGTGGGTTGGGTAAAGAACATAGATGTTCAGGTTCTAAAATTGTTGAGCTTGATATTCAGTCCTGAAGGCTGCAGGGTCCCCAAGTGGAAAATGAGGTGCTCTGTTTTCTCCTTGCACTGAATCTCACTGGAGGTTCCCAGCTCGCTGTGGCAGACTTGAGACAGAAATATTGGCCAGGGACCACAGTGGTACGTTAAAGTTGCGGGCAACTGGAAGCATGGGGTCATTTTTGATGAGAGAACATAGGGTTCCATGAAGCAGTCATCCAGGCTGTGTTTCATCTCCCTAGTATAGAGGAGACCATATTGTGAGCAGCAAATACAGTAGACTAGATTGAGTGAAGTGCAGATGAATTGCTACTTCACCCAGAAGGTGTATCTATGGGGAGGGAGGATGTAAACAGGCAGATGCCACACCTTCTGTGATTGCATGGGGAGGTGTTGTGGGCTGAGGAGGTGGTGTTGGGAGTGAAGGAGGAGTGGACCAGGGTGTCCTGGAGGGAATGGCCCCTGCGGAATGCTGACAAGGGAGGGGAGGGGAATATGTGTCTGGTGGTGGCAGAAGGGACAGCTTGTGATCCTTTGGATGCAGATGTGAGGCGTTTAAAAGAGTGAAGGCAAAAGTGCAGGAAATGTGTTGGACATGTCTAAGGGCCCTGTCAACCACGGTGGCAGGGAATCCTCAGCTGAGGGGGAAAAAAAGAGGACACTTCTGAGGACCCCCTGTGGAAGGTGACACCATCAGAACAGGTGTGACGTAGATGGAAAATCTGGCAGAATGGAATGGAGTCTTTACAGGCAACAGGGTGTGAGGATGTATAGTCCAGGTTAACTGTGGGAGTCACTGCGTTTGTAGTGGATGTCTGTGGCCAGCCTATCCCCAGAAATGGAAACACGTGTCAAGGAAGGGAAAGAGGATGGACCAGAGAATGTGTAATTCTTTTGAGCTAGAGTTTTCTTTGTCCATTATCTGTCACTGTGGCAGTTTATAGCACAGTAGTTAACCAAAATGTGCATGGGATGTTTATTACCTTGCTATATATTTTTAAAATGGTCATTAATAATAGATATGTATTTAAATTGCTCTTTTAATCCAGTTGTGAATTATCTAAAATTGTATCTTAAAGGGTCCTTTTCCTTTCAGCCTTCTCCTTTTGAAAAGATGAAATCTTCGCAATGCAGTACAAAACTTAGACTTCTGACCAAGATTAGTGCATGTTTCTGAATCCAGGTAAAGTTAGGAATGTACTGATTGTGCCTTCTGCAGCTTGAATTGGAAAGTGATCAGAGATGGTAAGTGATGTTTTTGTGTTGATTATTCCATTAGAGTTGAAACAAAAGTAACACTGGTAGTCCCTTGGTATGCACACCAGAATCTTACTTTCTGTTTTTTCTTTGTAATTTCCTAACGTTCTGAGAAATTCTTTTTTAGAAACGCGCAACCAGGTTGGATATTGCACAGCTTATATCAAAAATAAAGCATAGCTTGTATCGACTAAAGTTCCTACTATACTGTTCAATCTAGACCACAACACTGGTCAGATCCCTAAACTGATCAACTTGTACAGGTCACGGTTCAGATATCTCCCGCAGTAAAGGAACGTTTCATATGTTCGCATGTAAAGGCCGTGAGACCCAATGATATTTTGATAAGTGAGATTGTAGCATATATGTTTATATTCAAACATCCCTGATATTTTGGGCTAGATTTCCCCATCAGACACCTGGCTGGCCTGTGTTGGGTGAACTTTAAAAATGGTGGATAAAACCTGATTCTGGTCTATGGATACCCATTGCTTGCAACTTCAATTGTGATGCAATAAGAATGAGCCCGTAACCAGCTGTATTGATGTTGCTAACTCCATTTCAGATTTAGGCTTTTCAGATCCCCTAGAATTTTCATGGAATCAGGGCTGGCTTTCTGAGGTGCTATGATTCTCACCAGTTCAGAGGTATTGTGAACCTTGGAGGATCTCTGATTTGGAGGCTGGAAATAATTGACAGGTAAGTTAAAGATGTGTCACTAACATTCTGTCATGATTACTTTCCAGTGATGTTAGGGTGTTGTTTGGAAGGGTAAGCAGTCATTGAATTGAACAGCATTGTGCTCAAAGAAAGTCTTCAGGTGCATTAGACAACATTATCAGTTCAACCAACTGTTTAGCTGTTTCAAAGCTTTTTCAGGTGGCTGAGATTCTGGCTGACTTTAAAGGCTTTAATATTCATCTCTGGATGTTTTGTTGACACATTTGTTTAGTGGAATCTTATAATAAATGCTTGACTGAGTTCCAAATTCATGAATGGCACTCAGCAGGGTTTGTTGACATAGCCGTCAATGGAATGGTTTACATTGCCATATTTATAAACAGTTAGAATATTTTTGAAGTGGATTTCACAGTACTCCTGTTTTGTTTATTTTGAAAATTATGAGAAGTTTGTAGAATTATCTTTAAGGGAGTTAATTTGAACTACTGTTTGTTTAGTTAGACAGGTTGATCCTCCCTGAGATTTCCCAATATTATTTTCGAGCTCATGATTTCTACATGAGGAAAATATTAGGGCTAAGGTTAGCTGGAGGAGTGGATTGTGATGATGGGATAGGTTGTTATGGGTTAGGAGATTTCACATTATTCTCAAATCTACCAATGTCCCAGTGAACAGACTACCTGCCTCAGCATCCACCTGCCTCCATTCTTGCATTGGCATTCACGTGGCAAAGAAGACTAAAAGATAATAAAGAGAGAGAAAATAAACTGAGGGCAAGCTAGTGATAAATCTAAAAAACTGGCAATAAAAGCATCTTTAAATATATAAAAAGGAAGAGAGAGGTCAAAGTGAATATAGGTCCTTAGAAAAAGAATCTGGGGACATCGTTCTGGGGAGCAAGGAAATGACAGAGGAATTAAATAGATATTTTGCATCAGTCTTTACGAAAAGCTGCAACAGAAAGGATCGTGGAGATACTTGTGCACAAAATACAGAAAGCTAGCACACAGGTACAGGAGGTAACCAGGAAGACTAATGGAATGTTGGCCTTATTTCAAAGGAGTTGGAGTATGAGTTGGGAAGTCTTATTGTGGCTGTACAAGGTGCTAGTGAGACCACATCTGGAGTACTGTGAGCAGTTTTGGTCCCCTTATTTAAGGAAAGACATCTTTTCATTGGAGGTATTCAGAGAAGGTTCGCTGGGATAATCCCTCCAACGGCCGCAAGATACTTCAAACATTCCAGTGATATGAAAGAATATGGAGGAAGAATATAGTACCATTCCCATCACTAGATAAGTAGCATTAGACAAACTATTGGGGCTAAAGGCAGGTAAGTCCCCTGATTATTTGCATCCAAGAATCCTGAAAGAAGTAACTACATAGATAATGTATGCATTGGTTGTAATTTTCCAAAAACCTTTGGATTCTGGAGAAGTACTGGAGACTTGGAAAACTGCCATTTTGATATCCCTATTCAAAAGGGAAGGAGGCAAAAGACAGCTAGCTATAGGCCAACTAGCCGAAGACCTATTGTTGGAACGGTATTAGAATCAATTATTAAAAAAGCAATAACAGCACATTTGTAAAATGAAAATCTAATGAAGCAGTGGCACATGGCTTCACAATAGGGAAACATGCCTGAACAATTTATTATAACAAGAGGCTGGATAGTCTGGGACCTTCTTCACTAGAGCTTAGGAGGTTGAGGTGCAACCTTATAGAGGTTTATAAAATAATGAGGGCTATAGATAAGGTGAATTGCAGTTGTCTTTTCCCTAGGGTGGGGGTTTCAGGACAAGGGGACATATTTTTAAGGTGAGGGGAGAAATATTTTAAAAAGACATGAGGGGCAGTTTTTTACACAGAGAGTGGATCGTATGTGGAACGAACTTCCAGAGGAAGTAATGGATGCAAATACAATTACAAAGTTTAACAGATATTTGGATAAGTACATAAATAAGAAATGTTTGAAGGGATATGGGCCAAGCACAGGCAGGCGGGACTAGTTTAATTTTGGGATTATGTGGACTGGTTGGACTGAAGAGTCTGTTTCTGTGCTGTATGACTCTGAGTTTTTTGAGGAAGTCCAACCAGAGTGGATAAAGGGGAATCAGTAGATGTGTTGTATTTGGACTTCCAGAAGACTTTCAAAAAGGTACGTCTCAAAAAAACTGACTCTAAGGTGTTAGAGGTAATATATTGGCATGGATAGAGAATTGGCTATTGGGCTGGAAACATCGAGTCGGGGTAACAGGCTCTTTTTCATATTGGTGACCTGTGACTGGTGTTCCACAGGGATCAGTGCTAGAACTGTAGATGTTTACAATGTATATTAAGGACTTGAAGGAAGGAAGCAAATATACTGTAGCTAGTTTTGCAGTAGACACAAAAATACATGGAAAGGCAAGTTGCGAGGTTGATACAGACGGTTTAGAGAGATATTGATAGATGCATTAAGTGGACAAATAGTTGGCAAATGGAGTATAATTGGGAACATGTGAAGATGTTCATTTTGGAAAGGAGAGCGAAAGAGCATGTTACAGTATTTAAATGGAGAAAAGCTGTAGAAAGCTGCAACACAGAGGGGCTTGGGGTATTTGTGCATGAATCACAAAGCTAGCACACAGGTACAGCAGGTAATCATGAAGGCTAATGGAATATTGGCCCTTATTTCAAGGAGGTTGGAGTATGAGTAGAAAAGTCTGAGACCACATCTAGAGTACTATTAGCAGTTTTTCTCCCTTTTATTTAGGGAAAGATGTTCCTTCATTAGAAGCACAAAAAGTTCACTAGGATGACCCTGGTATGATGGGATTGTCTTAGAAACAAAGGCTAACCCAGGTTGGGAATGAGAGGTGATCTCATTGAAACACATGTGACTCTTAAGGGGCTTGTTGAGAGTATATGTTCCCTCACGGAAGAGTCTAGGCCCAGAAGGCATAACCTCAAAATAAAGGTGTGCTGATTTAAGGTTGAGATGGGGAGGAATTTCTTATGAGGGTTGATTGTCTTTTATAACCATTTGCCACAGAGAGCTGTTGGGGCAGAGTCTTTGTGTATTTTTAAAGCCGAGACAGAGAGATTCTTGATCAATATGGGAATCAAGGGTTACAAGGAAGAGGCAGGAAACTGCATGTGAAGAGTGTCAGATCAGCCATGTTCCTATTGAATGACGGAGCAGGCTGAAGCGGCCAAATGGCCTACATCAGTTCCTATTTCTTACAGTCTTGTGCTTCCATTTCCATCTTGGACTGCTATTGAGCGTATCCTTCCTGTCTCCTGCCACCCCATCATTAAAATAATACATACAGTCTCCATATGCCAGCCAAGAGGCAGGATTGTAATGTCTGAAAGTCCTTTGACTCCTGATTTCTGCCTTCAAGGTGAAAATCCACCTTTTGTCTTCTGTACTCCAATTGATTTAATGTTTTCAGTAAATAATTTGTTCCTAACATATCTGTTTTAAATTTAAATTTTACTGATTTTTAAACTTCTGACTTTGGCTCCTACTTCTCTGGTTTACTTTGCTATGGTCTATGCTTACCTTTATGAATTAAGAATTCTTATTGATACTCCTAAATCATTTATATATCTCAATAAGTCTCCACCTTTAGCCACGTTATTTCCAAATTGTAAAACTAGCACTTTTCTTATGTTTACTTGGCTTTTCCATATTACAAATGGAATGTTTTGCTGCTTGGCACTATTTTCTAAATGGTTTATAGCATAGTGACCAGAATCAACTGCAATATTCCAGCATACACAGTGACAATAAAGCTGCAACATAACCTCTTCAGTCCTGTGGAATGATTTATAACCATTCGAGTCTCTATGTATCAATTCAATTTAAATGATTATGCACCTATCACTAAATTTTTCAATATGCAATAACACTGTGATCATTTATCAGTGTTAATATACTTTACCGTTTGTCTTCCCAGTTGCATAAATAGTTTAAATTCTTCTGAAATTAAAAAAAAAAAATTGCTAGATGTCTTGCCTGTACTGGTCTCCCCATTTTGCTTCGGTCAGTTTCTTCTCCTGTCTGGCTATAAATGTCCCAAAAGTGATGGGTCACAATTTGCTGTTGGAGTGAATGTTGGCCTCGGCCAATAGTAACACTTGCCTGCACATATTTAGATTTCTAAATTTCTTTTCCAAGCCACCTGCTGCAATTGCAAGCTGATAACAGCACTCTGAGTGCAGCCTTAACAATACCTTGTATATTTGCAGCAAGACCTCCCTGCTAACATGTTAAATATTAGGCTGACTGGCCTATGTTCTCTCCTTCCTTGGGTAGATGTGCTACATTAGTGATTTTCCAGTTTGCTGGGATATTTCCAGAGTCTAGAGAATTTGGAAGATCATAACTAATGTATCCACAATTACTGCAGCCACTCTTTTAAGACCCTGGGATTCAGGCCATCAGTCAGCCTTTAATCCCTTTAGTTTTCTCATACTGTTTGTCTAGTGATTGAAATTGTTTTCAGTTTCTTTCTTCATCTTGCCTCTTGATTTTCTACAGCACTTGGGAATTTTTTTGTCATTTACCGTGAAGACAGGTATTAGCTCTGCCATTTCTAATCAACAGGGCTCCAAATAAGTGCTAAGGTAGGGAACACGTTGAAATTAAACATGCATGTGACAATGGCATTGTGGTAATCATGGTCCAATTTAATCTGTGAAAACTGGAAAAACCAATAATACTGTGACTGATTAAAAACTGAAAGAACTGTGGATGCTGTAAATCCGAGACAAAAATAGAAATTGCTGGAAAAGCTCAGCAGGTCTGGCAGCATCTGTGGAGATAAATCAGAGTTAACGCTTCAGGTTGTGTGACCTTGAGGAAGGGTCACTTGACCCGAAGCATTAACTCTGATTTCTCTCCAAAGATGCTGCCACACCTGCTGAGCTTTTCCAGCAATTTCTATTTTTGTATACTATGACTGATGATATCCTAGAGTGTGCACTAGATGTTTTAGACCAGCGCACTGAGGAACCAACTAGAGAATGGGCTATCTTGGGATTTGGTATTGTGCAATGAGAAAGAGTGAATTAATAATCTTAATCTTCAGGTTTCCGAGGGAAGAGTGACCATAACATGATATAACTCTTCGTTGGATGAACAAGGGTCTTAATTCTAAACAAAGGATATTATGAAGGTATGAGATGGGGGTTGGCTATGATAAATTGTGCAATTTCATTAAAAAGCATGACGGCAGATAGGCAATGACTGAATTTAAGGAACAAATACAAGCATTGTGATAGTAATACATTTCTTACTGGTGCAAAAACACAACGGGGAAAATGTTCCAATCATGCAATTCCATTTTATATGGTGCCACGTGGCAGGTTGGTTAGAAAATTAGAAACGTTTGGGATTAATGGATCCTTGGCAGTGTGGATTACAAGTCGACTAAAAAGACAGGAGACAGCAGGTAGGTATAGATGGGCATTTGAGACTGGAGACGAGTTGAAAATGGTGTTCCCCATGGATCAATGCTGGGATCCTTACTCTTTGTGATTTATTTAAAACAAATTGGAGAAGGATCTTGAGGGCAAAGTCTGTAAATCTGTAGATGATGCTAAACTAGGGAGAATAGTGAATTGTGAGGATGACACTGAGTGATTTCGTAGGGACATTGACAGTTTTGCCAAATGGGCAAACACCTGGCAGATGAATTGCAATGCAGAGAAATGCAAGGTAATGCATTTTGGTAGAAGAAACATGGAGAGACAATACAGACTCCATGGTACAACTTTGAAGGAAATACAGGAGCAAAGGGACCCTGGGGTTCGCATGCATAATCCTCTGAAGGCAGCCAGGTAAGTTTAAACAGTTGAGAAGGTTTGTAGGATCCTTGGATTTTATAAATAGAGACATATACTCATGAGAGACATGGACTCTCTAGCCTCAAATAATGTAACCTGCAATGTAACCTGTATGTCTCTAAGTCTTTTTGATCTGTACGTTCTTTGCTTGCTGTGATCTGCCGGTGCTGCTTGTAAACAAAGCTTTTCATTGTATTTCGGTACACGTGACAATCAATCAATCAGTTATTCTCCTTGGAACAGAAAAGATTAAGAGGTGACCTTATTGAGGTGTTTGAAATTGTGAACACTTTTTACAAAGTAGTTTTACATGCAGTCTGCATGACTGGAATGTCATCTACCACCTTTTAACATTCACTTCACCACCAACACATTGTGGCAAGGGTATATACTACCTACAGGATGGACTGCAATAAGTCATGCAGGCTTTCTTGACAGCACTTTCCTAACCCACAAGTTCTAGTGTCTTGAAAATGGGGCAATTTTCCTTCAGGCATCACCACTGGTTCCTCCTCCACACCTATTTTGGAAATATCTCACTGTGCCTTTGTTGTCATTAGGTCCTACGAAAGCCAGAATGTCTAAAATCTGAAAGGAGTGGAGAAAATATAAATAGCATTGCATGTGTAATGAAGCAAAGTGGCATGATCTTAAGTTTGAGATACTACATTTTTAAATAAAACAAAGAACTGTGGATGGTGGAGATCTGAAACACACAAAAACAGAAATTGCTTGAGAACTCAGCAGGCCTAGCAGCATCTGTAAAGAGAAGCTAGTTAAGTCCAGTGATCCTTCTTCAGAACTGTATTTTTTAACATTGCTATGACTAAAATTTTGGAAAGCTTTCAATCTGTTTTATTTAGAAGTTGTTTTTCTTTCTCTCAGCAAGCAGCTTTGAAAATATTTAACCTGTAAATGACCTATCTATTTGTTTGTGTTTCAGGGATCAAAACAAAAGAAAGGATTCCGAGGTAAGTAACCTATATTCCACCTTGTTTTGGACAATTGTTTGTAATAATTTAAAGAGAAAGAAACACTTTCTGAAGGAGGTTTTTCTGTTTTTGTAAAACAGAATCCCAGTGTGAACTGGAATAATTGCACTGAATACAGTTACAACCTTGATTTTGAACCATTGTGCAAGTGAATCTAGAGCCTGCCTTGGATGACAACCTACTGGGTACATATTGCGTTTAAAAGAAACTGAAAACCAGCGCATTATCACTAAAATGCTTTTCAACTTTCTAAATACAATCTCTTTTTTAAAACTGTGACACAGGAAAAAAATACAACAGTTCAAAACCTGGAATTGAAAATGTGTGGGGATTTGTGAGAGATGTTTTCCTTTCCACCCTGCTCTCCTCACTCATTACTGCTTGCTCATTTGAATGGAAATGTTAGGCGGATTGGATTGCTGATTTCTCCACACGTCCCACTCAGGACTAGACACTGAGTGTTCAATGTGTCTTTAACCTGATGAATAGATGTTTGCAAATGGCCTTTCTGATACAGAGGGTGGATTTTTTTTTGTTGTTGTGCAATTGTCTACTACTAGCTGGGTGTGCTGAAGAAAAGTGTGTGGTGGAGTTAGTGTGGGACTCTTGCTCTACCTGATATGTTGATGACATGTAAAGCTTGGTACAGGGTGCAATTTAAAAGTTTTCAGATGGTATGAAACTTGGAAACATTGTGAAAAGTGGGGAAAATGGTGTGGGACTTCAAAAGGACATTGGCAAGTTGATGGAATGAATGGACAGGTGGTAAATGAAGTCAACAGGGGGAAATATGAAGTGATTCATTTTGGTAGGAAGAACATAGAGAGACAATCTTAAATAAATGAAGGAGACAATTCTAAAAAGATGTGCAGGAGCTGAGAGACCTGGGTGTATGTATGCATAAATCACTAAGGATATTTGAGAGTACGGTTACTGAAGCATACAGTTTCCTAGGTTTACTGACAGTGGAATGGAATACAAGAACAAGGAAGTTGTGTACATTCTCTAAACCTCAGCTGGGATATTGCATCTTGTTCTGGGGACCACAACTTAGGAAGTATATGAAGGCATTGGACAGGGTGCAGAAAAGATTGAGTGATTCCAGGGATGAGGAACTTCAATTAAGAAAGCAGATTGGAGAAGTTAAGACTGTTTTCAATAGAGAGAAAGAAACCAGGAGGACTTCGATACAGATATTGAAATCATGAGAGGTCTAGGCAGAGTAGATAGGGAGAAACTGTTTCAACTTCTGAAGGGATCAAGAACAAGAAGTCAGGGATTTAAAATCATTGGTAAAAGAAGGAAAAACAACATTAGAATATTTTTCAATGCAGCGAGTGGTTTGAGTTTAGAATGCACTGAGAGTGAGAGTGGAGGAAGCAGGTTCAATTCAGGCATTCAATAAGGAATTGGACCGTTATCTGAAAAGAAGCAATGTGTAGGGTCATAGGGTGAAGACAGGGGAATGGTATGAAGTGAAATATTCATTTGGAGAACTGGTGCAGACATGATGCATCGAAAGGCCTCCTTCTGCATTGCAACAATTCTTTTATTCAGAGATTTTCTGAGGAATCCGTTCCAAGCACTGGCACAAATAATAATAACTGAGACAAACTTGACCCGTATGCCGGGCTTCCTGAGCTGTGATATTAGAGATACCTACCTAAAACACTACTGATGCTTCCTGTTATTCTCTGAAATGCCTGCAGCAATCAAAACCGCACCCACTGTGCCTGTATCTCTTTGAGAAAATACTCCTATTTCCCATTTAGTGATTTAGTGCCTGCCTCATTGTGAAATCATAAATATCCATATGAAATTGGATATAGGCTTGAATAAGAACATTCCATGCCTTTATTGCTGGGAACAAAAATGAGATTCTCTGATATTACTGTGTCTTTGCTCTGTTTCAGAATCGATTGATGACGTACTAGATGACCTCTTTGGAGAAGATGGTAGGGTGCAATTACTTTTTCTTTTTCTGGTTGACCGTTTTAAAAACCAATCTTTCATGGGATGTGTGCATTGCTGGGACAGTCAGCATTTGTTGCCCATCCCTCATTGGCCTTGAATGGAGTGGTTTGCTAGAACCATTTCAGTGGGCAGTTAAAAGTCAACCACGTTATTGTGGGTCTGGAGGCATATATATGCCAGATCAGTAAGGATGGCAGATTGCCTTCCCCAAAGGACATTAATGTACCAGGTTTTTTTTAATGGCAATGGACAGTAGTTTCTTAATTAACATTATTGAACCTAGCTTTCAATTTCTCATTTTCTTTTACTAAACGAATTTAAATTTCACCAACTGCTGTGGTGGAATTTCAACTCTTGTTCCCAGAGCATTGGCTGGGTTCCTGGAATACTGGCTTAGAGACATCACCACTGTGAGAATAGCCTGTGCCTCAGATCTGTTTACAGTAATTCTGTTTAATTGGAAAACCCCAAAATAAATGTCTGAAGTTTAGTTTGCAGGACAAAGCCAAGGTTGAAAAGAGTAACAGTAAAGATAAATTCAAGTAAGTAGTGATGGAAAATCAATGCCAGCTTTTTTTGTAGTATCCTAAAAATCTCCAGAAGTAGTAGAGTTTGGGAGATACGATTAAGGAGAAGGAAACAGTGCGAAGGGTTCCAACTTGAACGTGCTGAGATTTTTTAATTCGATTTGTCATGTCAAGAGATCCATGGTGACTCTCTGAATTAAACTGCCCAACAACTTAGACATAGAATTTCTATTTGCCTGGTGGGGTTTAACATCCAGGGAACTTAGACACAAGCCAATAGGACAGAGATTTAGAACCATAAGTGTTTACAGTACAGCACCATTAGATCATCAGGTCTATACTTGCACTCTGCTGGAACGATCAGAAACCAATCCCACTGTTCGTTTCCCCATCCTCCTGTACAATAATTTCCATTGAATATTTATTGGCCCAGATTTTGCGCTACCCACTGACCTTGATGAAAGCTGCCTGCAAAGATCCAACGATCTCTGGGATGCAAACCTTTCCTTTCCTGACATTAGTGTAAATCTGAAGTCGAGTACAGGAGTCTCCTGGTGTTCAGCAGCAATGATGTGAGGAACCAATCCTATTGAAGTATTCTTATAGGAAACCAATCAGGAAGTTTTTAAAAAAAAAACCAATCACCTCACATTTTTTAGATTTTAAAGTTTCCAGCTTGCAGAATAATTAATTGGGACAGAGATATCGTCGAAGCTGAAATATTATATATTTTAATATTAATTCTTAAAATTTGAGGAATTTGGTAAAATGGAGAAATTTGACTACTGTCTTTTATAAGTTTATGTCCACTTGAACATTCAAGTGATAAACATATTAAAATGCTTCCTATTCAACTATGTTGTTCAACGTTGTTCCATTGAATGTATATTCCCACTCCTTGGTTTTCTTCCAAAGTATATTGCATTCCTCCACATGAAACAATTGCATCTGCCACCCAGTCTGCCCATTTCATTAATTTGTTTACATCCCAAATGAGAAGAGGGACATTGCTGGAATTTAACATTGATAAACCTTACAATTTACCATTTGCACATTCCCCTTAAGAAGAAAGAGCATAGATAATGGCTTGCATGGCCTGAGGAAATCCAAAAGTATTCCACCGCTTGTGAAATCATTTGAAGTGTAGGCACTCTTAATGCAGGTGCAGTATTTAGAAAAGGTAGTTTTAGACAAGTGGACAGGACTGTGTATTTTGAATAAAGGGTGAGTGAGAAGAAATTTTAAATGCATAGTGAGAACATCAACATCCAGAAAATTGAAACTAGAAAATTTGATCTGCACTGAACAGTGGAGGTAGGTGAATGATACCCAAGTAATATCATTGCTGCCTGTCAAACGAGTTTAAAAAGTAAACCTGATGCCTTTACGTTGAGCAATAACAGCTTTCATCACCGGTTAATCTATTGTTGATTCTAACAACTCTGAGTAAATCACTGCAAATACTCTGATCTATGTACATCTCCATGCATTGACTGAAACCTCTACAGTGCGTACAGGTAGCAATGTAATACTTTATTTTTCTCTTTAAACTGTATCTACATTCAATCCATGATTTAATGAACTGTGGGTATGCTAACAGTTTTATTTCTGTCACTTTGTTTTTGCAGATGGATCTCCCAGTAAACCTACCTTACCAACTACAAAGTCAGGGAGCAACCTCAAGACACCTATCACCACATCATCCAGAACCAGCAAAAAGTATGCAAGCAAGCAGTCTGACTGTGACTGTAGGGCTAATAAGCATGCTGTGTGAATATTCGTAGTGTTTAGCCAGGGATTTAAATTAATGGAATTTAAAGTTTTCAGCTTTCAACTTGAAATGGAGTTTATTCAAAGAATCATTCAAACACGGACAATAGTGTCAAATGTGTTAGGATTTCACTATAGAAAACACTGTGATAATTCATCTCCACCATTCCACAAACAGTCACAAATGTCAGTGCTTGGATTAAATCATCAAGCTGGCCAGTTTGCCTGACCGACTGCTAATCAGGACAAAAGCAATTCACACCAGGTTTTGCTATTAACAGGAAATATCTATTCATTGTAAACACACGTTCATTAACAAACGGCAATCACTAACCTACTCCTAGCTGAATTAAATTGTTACCTTTTAAAACCTAAATATGACACACTCATTCACAAATAAGACAAAAGACAGATGATTTGACACAAACGTTATGGATCGAAAGACATAGGGAAACAAAATTCTGAAAACCAAAGTCCAGACCACAAGGATAGGTTAAGATGTCTCTCTGTTATTTTGATTTTCACAATGATGATGCTCTGATGTCTGTAAAACAATGGTTATTTGTTTGAATAGTTAATTGGGTGGACTTAAGTCGTCATGTATTAGAATTCTAGCTCTTAAGTTTGAGTATTTGGTTCTGTTTTCTCACTTGCTCTGAAGGGAGGGGTATCTTTTCTGAATGTTTCTGGCTGCACTGCTTTCCCAAGTTGGTAGCAAACTGCACCTTAACAATCCGAGGGCTGTCATCAGGCAGTTTCCCTTAACTCAAAAACTGCTGGAGTGGCTCTGCTTAGTAACATAACAATCTTCCCGTTCTAAAAGCAACATAGTCTTATACAACTAAAAGTGTATCATGCAGCCCCAGTTGATTTATTATATCTCCTGGTGATTTAGCTAGATAACAATTTCCAACTTCTATTACAGGTTATAGTCCAAAAAGTAAAGATTTACATTCCCTTACAAATGTAATTTATAGTTTCTGTACAATAAAAGTGCAGATTGAAATTAAACATTCAAATTGAGATTAATGCAATGTGTGCCCTGGGTCATCTGATGTGTGGAGATTAATACTGCTCTCCCCCTGGAGTTTCCCTGGTTTGTAAAGATTATTACAGCAAGTGCCTTAGGGATTCACTGATCTTTAGAGATTAATGCAACGAGTGCTGCAGGGTGGCTCTGATTTGTTGAGATTAATGCAGTGGCTGTATTTTTTTTTTCTCTTCAGGCCACTGCTGGATGATGACTTTTTCAGTAAATTGGCACAGGATGTCAACAAGGACAATGAGGTTAGTCTACATCTTTTGGTTTTACACACTTAACTAGTAGTATGGCGAACTGGGTTTGAACAAAGCCTAATTTAACACCAAATCACATGCACCAACAGATCGCGGGATCAATTCTCAATTTACTCTGAATTAATTGAGTTCTGTAGTAAGGTATATACTGGTAAGTTACCAAATGCCCCAGACTTCCTGGCTGGTGAGGGAAAGCAAAAACTAACTTATTGTTGCTGTTTGGACTTGTACCAGAATATTAAAAAGAATAGCTAAAATACTGTTGATCCTTAGAACCAGCACAGTGGTTAGCACTGCTGCCTCACAGCACCAGGAACCCAGGTTCAATTCCAGTCTTGGGTGACTGTCTGCGTGGAGTTTGCACGTTTTCCCTGTTCTGCCTGGGTTTCTTCCTGGTGCTTCAGTTTCCTCCCAGGTTGTGTGAATTGGCTGTGCTAAATTGTCCTGTAGTGTCCAGGATGTGCAGGTTAGGTGGGTTAGGGGAATAGAGTGGGTGTGTGGGTTTGAGTGGGACGCTTTTCAGAAGGTTGGTGCAGATTCTATGGACCTCTATCTGCATTGTAGAGATTCTCTGATTTTAAGCAGCGATAGGAGAAATCATCATGGGGAATGAGAAAATGGCAGAGACAGGGAACAAACATTTTTGGGTCAGATTTTCTGATGACCAGATAATCTGTATCATAGATGTGTAGCATTGAGCAAACATCCCCACATTATACAATACTAGACGAAAATCCTGAACTTCTCAAAAACTTTTAAAAGAAAGGGGACAGCTGGGCTGAGCTCTGGAAAAATACACAGACACAGAGGTAGCTGTCTGGAGCCATTGTTCAGTCCAAAAAGTCCCATTCAAAAACAACAATCAACCAAACCTGACACCCTAGGCTGAAACTAACTTTTACACCTCGAGCTATCCAACCCATTATGGAACCTATACAGACATCAGACATTCAACTTCAATCGGTATTCATTCACAGAGATATCAGGCATTCAACTTCAATCTAAATATATTCACACATACTCTTAACTGTCAGGAAGCCAATTGACTTCAAAGGTGACACCAGTAACACAACGACAAGCGAAGATAAGAGGCCCACAATCAGTATAATTGCAGGCCCTGATCTCACCTGAAACAGCTGTCTCACCAGGAGCTATCCCCACAGCTATCTCCAGAAGAGGGATCTCAAACCGCTTTCTCCCCAAGAGCGATCCCCTGGCAGCTGTTTCCCAGGGGGTGTTCTAAGCAGCAATACTGAAAAGAAGAATTCTAACAGCCAATTCCAGCGGCTCTTTCCAAGAGCTGTCTCTGGAAGGCGTTATCCCAGTAGCAGTCCCAAAACCTATCGACCACAGACCTGTTCCGCACAAGGGGAACCAACAGCAACCAACCATGACCAGCAGACCTAAGAACTGACAGCCTCTGAAAATCGCCGACCTGACTGACACCAGAAGGCCTCAAACAGATACTGAGGTGAAAACCGGCCTACAAAACCACCACAAAATAAGGAAAACCAAGTACTAACCCAATAAATCCAAGTGGGAACAGTCAGCTATACTTCAAAATTGTGTTTTTTTTTCCCCCAGTAGTGACCTTAAACTTTTGAGACCCCAAAGTATCCAACCTAGCTAGCAGGGAGGGGAATGTGGGTAGCGACAGTGCAGGCATCCAAGGTAGGAAGCCTGATTAAAGTTTGTGATTAAAACTGCTTTATAGCTTCTAATAGTGTTTAACCTGTGTTTAATTTAATAGTGTATTTAATTACTGTCCTCCGTACAGTTGATTGTGTCAATTTCACTGTTTATTATATTTGCCTTTATTTCTTGTATTCTATTTACCTTTTGTATTTAATAAACGCGGAGATTCTTTTCCTCTGAAATACCTGTCTACTGCCTTCATTTCACATTCCTAAATAAGTCTAGTATCAGAACCAGAGATCTTGGGGTGATTCGAACCACCTAAAAATCAGCAAACTACTGATCGCAAACCAGAACCCTACATAAGGGAGATCTAAGCACTAGAATCCTTGGTGTAGCTGACTCCGAGGAAATTTCTCAGGAAGTTGGAGATTCCACTGAAAGTTCCCATTTAAGTTGAAGAATTTGGAAGGTTCTGCTGCAGTGAAGTAAATAGTGAGGAAAAGTTAGTTTATTAAAACCTTGTCTACCTGCTAAGTAACTATTAACAGAACCCCCCGCAACTCTCCCCAACACCCCCCCCACCCCACCAATTCACCTCATATACCCACAGTACACCACCTCCAGATCCCTTACAATCCCAAACCCTGACCTGACTGTTCCCATCCTCTGGACCTGAAACCCTCAACTGACACCCTGCCATCTGGGGCCTAATCTCCTACTCCTGGGACTCTCTTGCCATTGACTGCAGTGGAAAATGATACATGAATTGGCCAGGAAGCAAAGAATGGGAGCACTTTCCAGTTAACAGGGTGTAACTAGCTAAGTGCTGTGACTTTAGCTATTCATAATCGAAATAAATGACTTGGATGAGGAGTCCAAAAGTGATGTTTCTTAAGTTTGTTGACCATACTAAATGGTGACAAGATATGAAAGTGATATACTAATATGCACAGCATACAACAAATTGTAAAACAATTTTAATTTGACCTGCGGAAGGCTTTTACATATTTCTATATTACAAATTGAGAGCAAAGTAACTGAAGTCCTGATTATAGTGGAGCATTTGCACTAACGTTAAATTGGTTGAAGCATGCCTGAGCATTCTATAGAAGACTGTCTTGCAGCATTCTACCATTGCCAACTTTCAGGATCTTTACTGTTCTGTTTTTTTTGTGTAGGAGTCCGAGGTTTCAGATGCTGATCCTCAGGCCTTGTTAGACACTATGAAGGTAAGAAAAACGTATTTGTGTTACAATTGGTAGCCACCAATATGTTTTGCTCTTGTTGTACAGATCCCATTGGATAACAGAAAGCAGGGTGATTGTGAGCCTGTGCTGTAACACTTTTGGTTACAGATCCTCTTATCCACTTCAGCTGAGCCCTAAGATTACATTTTGTTCTCACTGTTACTCCCTGTTATCCCCAATGTGGGTAACAGTCTGTTTGGTTTTACAGAGTCATAGAGATATACAACATGGAAACAGACCCTTCGGTCTAACATGCCCGTGCTACCCAGATATCCTAAATAAATCTAGTCCCATTTACCAGCATTTGGTGCATATCCCTCTAAACGCTTCCTATTCATATACCCAACCAGATGCCTTTTAAAAGCTGTAATCGTATCCCCCACCACCACTTCCTCTGGCAGCTCATTTCATAGATGCGCCACCTTAAATCTTTCCCCTCTCACCTTAAACCTATGCCCTCTAGTTTTGGACTCCCCACCCTGGGGAAAAGATCTTGCCTACTTACCCTATCCATGCCCCTCATGATTTTATAAACCTCTACAAGATCACTCCTCAAGCCTCTGGTCCAGGGAACATAGCCCCAGCCTATTCAGCCTCTCCCTATAGCTCAAACTCTCCAACCCTGGTAACATCCTTGTAAATATTTTCTGAACCCTTTCTAGGTTTACAACATCTTTCCCATAGCAGGGAGACCAGAATTTCACGCAGTATTCCAATAGTGGCCTATCAATGTCCTGTACGGCTGCAAAATGACCTCCCAACTCCTATACTCTAATGCACTGACCAATAAAGGCAAGCATACCAAATGCCTTCTTCACTATCTTATCTACCTGCGACTCCATTTTCAAGGAACTATGAACCTTCACTCTAAGGTCTCTTTGTTCAGCCACACTCCCCAGGACCTTACCATTAAGTGTATAAGTCCTGCCCTGATTTGCCTTTCCAAAATGCAACACCTCACATTTATCTAAATTAAACTCCATCTGCCACTCCTCGGCCCATTGGCCCATCTGATCAAGATCCTGTTGTATTCTGAAGTAACCTTTTTTTGCTGTCCGCTACAACTCCAATTTTGGTGTCACCTGCAAACGTACTAACCATACCTCCCATGTTCACATCCAAATCATTTATATGAAAACAAAACTATGGTAAACCAAAGTAGCTTTCTTACAAATACTAACCAACTATCAAATTCTTTCCCCCGCCCCAGATCCCCACTTTAACACTTCAATCCATGTGGTATCATGTAGGTATTTTCTAATCCACCTGTTCAAATATGTTATGGCAGAGCTCAAGAATTTGGGGGGAGTAAGTATTACAGATTCATTCCTCCAGTTTAAGCCTATAGAATCATAGAATCCCTATAGTGTGGAAGGAGGCCATTCCTCCCATTGAGTCCACACTAATTCTTTGAACAGCATCCCACCCCAACACTCCCTTACCCTATCCCTGTCACCCTGTATTTCCCATGGCCAATCCACCTAGCCTGCACATCTTTGGACTGTGGGAGGAAACCGGTGCACCCGGGGGAAACCAACACGGATATGGGGAGAATGTACAAACTCCACACAGTCGCGCAAGGATCAAATTGAACCTGGGCCCTGGTGCTGTGAGGCAGCAGTGCTAACCATAAAGCCACTGTGCCATTCTGTATCTTACGATTCTTGCATGAAATAAATTAGATTTAAAAAACAAACTTGAGAGAAAAAGACTACCGTGAATGTTGATTCTTCATACAAGAAATTCCTTTTCATAAAAAAGGAACAAATCTTCGTACCATAGGATCAAGAGTAGACCATTCACCCTCTTGTGTCCGTTTTATCAGATTTTGAACCAATCCACATTTTAATTCCATTTACCTGTTTCGGTTCCATAGGCTTACATGGTTAAGAGGGCACTGACAATAGAGGTGTTCAAAACCAGAATGCATTTTGTATTTAATTCTTGTTTGTGTTTAGTTCATGACTTTATTACTTTTACTTCAGTAACTTGTAGTAGAGTTGTAGCAGTGTAGTGAACGAACCTTTATCTTGCTTAAAACTAGAATTTTGCTATTTATTTTTAAATGGAATTGCATAAAGTAAGAGGGGGCTTCATATATATGCATGTATTTTATATTCCTGTCATTAAGCCTGTAATTAATTCCTGTAATTAATACATTTACTGGTGCTTGAATTGATAATACATATCATTTGAAACTGGTAAGGTCGACATTTGGTGTTCTGGGATGTTGGCAGCGTTGCCTTACTTTTACAAATGCGCACAAATCCTTAGCTTTGAAGAACGTCACCTTAGGAGATTGGGACAGTTCACCAAGGGTTGCAGATGTCATGGACTATCCTGATGTTTGTTGTTCATCTTTAGGTGAATTTGAGGAAAGTTATGATGATCTAATTTCTTGGGATGCTGTCATCAAGGAGGAGGGTGACAATGAGAGGAAAGCCTATGTGGTAGGCTGGGTAACTGGAGGGGCAGACTGTGGTACCCATGGCCAGATCTGCACAGGACATCATTGTCACCAGGGACTGCTTCATAGAGAGGCAGTTCATGCAAGCAGCCTTGGGGATCTTACTATACATTCAGCAGATTGTCCCTGATGAGCCAGCGTGACACAAGTGATGAATAATATTGGCATTACATATCTTCCAGATGAGTTGGTCCTGTCTCCGGCTTGGCTTTCTGAGGCAAAGAATAATCCTGAAGGGACGACAGAACTGCTCTCCCTCCTTCACAACTATGCTCTCCTCTCTCCACCCTTCTTTATGGTCTGTAGCCAACCTCTATCTCGGAATTGCTTAGATGTGAAACTGCTCAGCTTTGCACTGCTCCTTGAGTCACAGACTGATTCACTCCATCAGGCAGGAGGCCTGTGATTGCAGGAGTAGCTATTCTTGCAGGTCGGTCACTTCAGCTGACCTGTATTTTGAACAGAGAGTCTGCAGGCCTGATAATAGATGGTGGGCTGCATTCTGGACTACAGCTATGTATTGGACAACCTTGCTTTACAGGGATGCAAATGTTTTCTTTATTTGTCCTTTGGATATGAGTGATGTGGGAAAAGGAATATTTTAGTGCCTATCTCTATTACATATCAACCACAAGGTGTGGAGTTGGAGTTGCTTCTACACAAGACCAGGTGGGAGCAACAATTCCCTTCCCTGAAGGACTTTATTGGAAGGTTTGGGTTTTTAACAACCATTCAGCAGCTTGCATGGCCTTTTGTCTGTTGTAAGTTCTCGCATTACTGCATTTATTGAATTCAGTTTGACCATGGTTCCACTTGATTGCACATCCTTGGGGTTGCTATTCTAGTTTTACAACCATGGAGCTTATTTAACCTTTGTTCATTTTCTTTTCTGTGTGCAGGATATTGATGACATGGATGCCGATCTCTTTGGGAAAAGGAAGAAGCTGCATTCTGTGTCAAATCAACCCACGGGAAAGACTGCTGGGATGGAAAGTTCCTCATTAGAATCCACCAGAGTTGCGCACAAACCAAAAGCAGCAAAAGGCAGTAAGTAGCGTAGCAAGCATTTGAAAATAAGCAGCACTGCCTCTAGAATTTGAACAAACAGAACAGGCTCATGTTGGGGACTCCTTCAACAGATTGTCAGAATCTGTATGCAAATAAATGTACAATTAAAATAGTGTTTCACAAAGCATCCAAATAAGGTGAAGTGCTTCCCATTGGATTCTTTCCCCACCTTGGATTAAGGGCTGGCTCTAGGTTAAGATTGCTAACTATGATTAAACATAGTCCTGGAGGTTTCATTGCATGACTTGCCCCCACACTACACCCATTAATCAGCATTACATCTGGTTACGAGAAATATTTCTAGGAAACAACAAAAACGATACTCATTTTTAAAATCCCTTTGATTTTTCTCCATGTTTGCCCACAACGTGCCTTGGAGATTGATCTTCAATTTGTGCAAACTCCAGAACAACTCTGCAGGGTTGGTAAATCCACTCTTGTATCATTTGCAGCTCTGTAGCTGGTTCATTGAAGGCTTATATATAGTTGAACGTGTGGAAGTAAAGGGAGCTTGTTTTGTGCTGGTTTCTTTTGACCTGACCCGGGAATTTGCAAGCATCAGCAGTCTACAAACTTTCCCTACAATAGCAACTAATGCAAGTTTGTATTGATTTGTCGCACTTCAACTTTGCACCCTTAGAGGGACGGGCAACTTTAAACACAGATGCAAAATTGAAGTGGAATAATACATTGAATTTTCCATTCAATTATGTATTCCTGGTTGATGAAGCAACATGTCACCTGACCCACTGTAAGAATTACCACAGCAAATGCACTGATAGATTTAAATAAGCAGAAATTCATTTAAAACTGCAGCCTTTACCAAAAGAATGAGAAATGTGTGGAATAATTGGTCAGACAAGATAGTGAAACCATGGGAGGCTTTCAAGATGCCACTGGATACGTAGGAAAGTCAGGGGTTCCAGTTTGCCCCCATTTCTGACTCTGACTGACTCTGTTTTCAATCAGTCATCATGGGGGAAATTGCTGAGGGAATGTTTACAATAAGGACCAATAAAGAAGGAAACCTTTAATTTGTATAGTAACTTTCACAACCTCAGGAAATCCCAAAATGCTTCATAAAGATACTTCTGAAGTTTAGTTGTTCTTATACAATAGGAAACAAGTCATTTTGCAAATGATGAGCTCCTAAGAACAGCAGGATATCCATCTATCTTCAAATAAAAACGGAACACTGGAGATGCTCATCACGTCTGGCAGCAGCTATGAAGGTAGAAATGGAGCTGACATTTTCAGTCAGTTATGAATCTTCTTCATTCGAAGATTATGTGCCTTTGAAAGGTGGGCAGGGAAATGGAAGAACAAAAGGGAAAATCTAGCATAAGGTAGAAATCATTTATTACAACCATCAACAGTCCCTATGCCTTTTTGTCCCATTATAATTTTATCTTTTAATCTCCCCTGCCCTCGATTCATTCCCACTTTTGTTCTTCCTTCACTTTTTCCCCTTTCAATGATGTACTACCCATCATATTTTAATGCTCCTTCAATTCTGAAGAAGAGGCTTATTCAAATCAGCTCTCTTCATTTCCCAGCACTGACTCCCCTTATCTCAAACACCATAAAAACTAAGAAACTTTTTAGTAAAGAATCATTTTGCCTTTGTTGCATCTCAGTTGTGTACTAGCTGTTAAATGTGCACCCGCCCCCACTTCTTGATTTTTTTAATACCATATTGTCTATTAAGGTAATGATTCTAACTCGGACTAAATTGCAATTTGAAATAACTTGGAAGTAAATCTAAGTGAACCTGTTGATCTGCTATCACAAGAAGTGGCATTTTCACTGCTCCTTCGATGCAAATTGCTAATATTTGAGCAGCAAATCAAGTTGCACTCAACAAGTGCAGAAATTTGGATTGTTTCTCAAATGGACTCTACTATGTTAGAATTGCCAGCAGTCCAGAATTGCTCTGGAGTTTCCAAAAATGAAAGGATAATCATCCAGTCCTGGGTACTTCTGAAAGGAATCTTGGAGCAAAGTCATGGGGCCAGTTTTTTAAAAAAATATATATTTTCTTTCATTTCTATTGATCACTTTTTCTGTTCACTTTCGTTTTGAGATGCAGTGAGAGTTATCTCCGGATTAGCAAAGGTAGTTTGGCTAATCAGAGAGTTGGGCATCAAAGAGTCTACTGATTAGAAAATTGGTGTGAGAGATTGGACCACAAAGAAGGGTCTTTTGGTCCCCCATTGACCCAGGGGCAGTCACTGAAAGAGAGAGGTCATGTGGGGAGTCCTTCAGGAATTCAACAAATGAAGACTGAAATCCCAAAACTGCCCCAAATCACATTTCCTTCCCTTAATTGTTGGAAGGTTTATGAGTCACATTAATTGTATACTCATGTCTGTAGATGTGGCTGGTGAGGATGAGGAACATTGCTCTGCTCCTCCAACGTCTAGGCGCCAGTACAAGAAGTTCACATTTGATGGTAAGTTTTTAATGCATGCAGTGACCATGGTGCAAGTCAGTTTGGAACTTGGATTGCTTAAATAATGAATGCAGATTTGAGTGAGGATAAGATGATTCATTAATGTTTTAAGCCATTATTTGATGTTAATATCTGGTTAATTACATTGCCAAGGCTGTTACTGCCTTTATTTAAGTTTAAGAAGAAACAGGTGATGGCTATTTAATTGTCTCTGTGCTTGCATGTAGGCAGCACCAGTAACACTGGGGATTGAAAAGAACTGGAAGACTGAGTAGTCAATAAACTATCCAAGCATCTTGGTTTTCTAACTCAGCAAATGGCTGGGGTCTATATTTAGGGTGGAAGAGGGTTGGGAGGTGGGGAAGGAGACCGTAAGAGGAGGCTGGAGGAGGAGATACCACAAATATCCTATTCTCAATAATGGGAGACCCCAGGCCAGTAGTGCAAAAAGTGAGACGAAAGCAATTTCAACAATCTTCAACAAGAAGTGCTGAGTGGGTAATCCAGCTCATCATCCTCCTGAGGTTCCCAACATAACACATGCCAGTCTTTAGCCAGTTCAGTTCAATTCGCTTCACATGATATCAAGAAAGAGCTGGAGGTCCTAGACACTGTCCTTGACAAAATTTCAGTTAAACTTCTGAAGACGTATGATCCAGAACTTGTCATACCCCTTGGCAAGCTGTTCCATTACAGCTACAACACTGGCATTTACCTGGACAATATTCCACATTATCAGGTATGTCCTTTAAGTCTTGGAATACTCCCCACTTGCATGGATGACTTCATCAACCCTGGAGAAGCTTGACACCATCCAGCATCCAGATCAAAGTAGCCCATTTGATTGGTACCCTAACCGTAAGCATTCATTCACTCCACCATGAATGCTCAGTAGCAACAGGGACTACCATTGACAAGATGCACTGCTGAAGTTCACCAAGGCTCCTTAGATAGTACTTTCCATGACCACGACCATCTAGAAGGACAAAGGCAACACCACCCAAGACTTTCTCCAAGCCACTCGCCATCCTGACTTGGAACTATATCACTGTTCCTCCAGTGTCAGTAGATCATAATCTTGGACTCCCTACCTGATGCCCTATCTACAACAGTTCAAGAAGGTAGCTCACCAACAACTTCTCTGGGCAACTGGGAATGGGCTATAAATGCTAGTCCAGGCAGCAATATCTACATCCAATGTGTGAATAAAAAGAAAAGCACTGAAGGAGGCTGCAAGAGGTGTGGTGGGGGGAGCTGAGGCTCCAATGGGAGTTGGTAGGGGAGAAGGAGAGTGCAAGAGGGATGGGAGAGGAGAAGGAGGGTACAAGTGAGTGGCAGTGGAGGAATAGAGGAAGATCAAGGATGAGGAACTTGGGAAATGCAGGGGCCTGTGTGAGGACTGTAGTTGTAAGGGGATGGATGAGAGAAACTGCAACAGGGAGGAGAGGAAATTTGAAAGAGGGAGAAGGAGGCTACAAATGAGAAAGAACAGCATAAATCACCCTTCATCAGGAATCGAAAGCTTTCCTGCTCCTCTCCTGCTGCCTGACTTGCTGTGTTCCTCCAGCTCCACACTGTATTGACTCTGACTCTAGCATCTGCAGTTCTTGCTATCTCCTTGGAGATGAATATGGAATATGTATCTTCAGGATGTGCTACATAGGGAACTATGTGATTAACACTGTCACTTGTTACATTTAAATCTGAGGTTAAGATCTTCCACCTTTGTCCATATCCAATGGAAATGCATTAACTCTGGCTTTACCAATCTTTGGAAGGAATGTTTAGGGTACTGGCTTTTTCTGCATAGAAGTATGTGTTCCTTATTTTTCACAACCTTGGTGGAAATTAAGCTCCCCCATTCCACAATTGTCACAATTTTAATTTAAAATTTAATATCTCAGATAATTAATGTCTATGACCATTATCTAAGACAAAATAAACTCTCACCAGGTTTTATCAATGAACAACAAAATGCAAACCTAATTGCTTTTTGCTGATACTGTCACATTGTTGTCAATTGTGGCAATCGTCAAATTGCTGGTCAGTTGGACCTAGGTCTTACTCTGAGTTTGCAATACTTTCTTTCTGGCAAAATCTGTTGTATTTTATTTTTTTTTCATTCATAGTGTGTTTTTGCTCTCCTGTTAAGCCTTTTAGATGCCTGAGTCCCAAATGTGCTCTCCCCCCTCAGTGCTATGACAAACTGCCACTTGCAGCCAATCCTCAAGTTGTTGCTGGACAGTTACTTTCTTTTTACCCCAAAGGCACCTGGTGCCAGCATCTCTCAAGAATATCAAATCCAGATTCAGCAAAAAAAAGTCACACTGTTCCACTTTTCCTTTTGAGTTGTGAAAAAAAGCCTAATAATCCAAATTGCCACTTTTCATTGTATATTTCCAAATAAATTATGTGTAATTTTTACATATTACAGAAAACCTTTTGTTGCCAACTTATGCCAATTTAAATACGGTGGTGGGTACAAATTTTCTTTCTAGAAATGCTTTATGTTGAGGTTTTAAGTTTAGTAGAAGTTTGAAAATTATTGAGGATATTAATGAATTCTAATTCTGCATCAGTGTATCCTTTTATTCTTTATTCATCCATGGGATGAGGGCATCGCTGACTAGGCAGCATTTATTGCCCATCCCTAATTGCCCAAAGGGCAGTTGAGAGTCAACCACATTGCTGTGGGTCTGGAGTCATGTAGGCCAGACCAGAATAAGATTGGCAGTTTCCTTCCCTAAGGGCCATTAGTGAAACAGATGGGTTTTTCCCGACAATCGATGATGGATTCATGGTCATCATTAGATCCTTAATTCTAGATATTTATTGAATTCAAATTCCACCGTCTGTCATGGTGGGATTCAAACCCAGACTCCAGAATGTTATCTGGGTCTCTGGATTAACAGTCCAGCGATAATACCACTAGGCCATTGCCTAGAGTCCAGATGCCCCATATGTCAACACAATTACAGAAAGTATTGTTATGATGTGACTGCATTGTGATGAATCAGTTAGTGATCATGAAAAAGAAACTCCTGAAAACCAAAATGTAGTCCCTGAAAATCAAAAAGAAGGCCCTGGAGCAAATCTCAAGAAGACCCCTTAAATATAAATTAACTTGTGCTCTTTTTGGGAAGTGATATCTATTTGCTTTCACTCGTTTTACACTTCTACATAAAGTTTCATTTATCCACAAGTTGTGTTATTTCAGCAACATGGGGTCATCTGCATTAAAAATGTGGTATTCATGCATTGAATGATTGTGCATTAGAAATTTCTTCTCGGGAAATGCGGTGGGGATCTTGTTGACCTCTGTTTGGAAGTGACCATTCTTTTTCACCAGAATAAAATCTTTTTTGCATGTTTGTTTCCGCACAAACTTCAGATGAGGAGGATGTTGGTTCAGGAACTACAAAACAAGGTAAACAGAATGTCAAACAAGAGGCCCACCTTTTCCTTGTTCTTGTTGCATTGAAATGTTTAGAAGCTGCATTTCCTCCCAGACTGAAACCTGTTTGGTGGTTTTCCATCACAGATTCTCTCTCTGAAACCTTAATCATTTCCACAAAGTTTAGTCCCAGTTCTTCAATAAATTTCTGCTATTCCAAGCTGATAGTACTGGTTTGTGAAGCTGACTTCTGAAATGTACAGTCTGTTCCTTTTATGACAATTGTGATCTGATAATTCCAGTTTTGGGGTCAACCAAAAAAATGACCACGTGATCAGAAGCAGACTGTACTTGGGTATTAGTTCTGTAAGATGCTTCTACGTCCCATCTCTCAGAATGTGAACTCTTTTTGTCTCTTAGTGTGCTGTTGCATGGCTGTTTCTTCTGGTATCAGGTTGAATGTTTAAAAATAAATGTCACTGCTAAATTAGCATTACATTTTAATTCAGGATTTTCCTTCTATGTTAAAACTGGTGGGAACAAAATCTAAAACGTAGTTTGAACAATGCATCAGAGATGTAGTGTAAGATTATGAAAGCTGAGATATTTAATGTTATTCTTATGCTTCTATTGTCTGTACCCTACAAATCACCTTATTCTTCCCACTGTACTGTATTTGGGTCACTAGTGCAGCCCCAGCAAGATGCCAAAGGCTTTTTCAAGCAATTCCATTGATGTATTTTGTTGAACACACTGTATGGGTATTGTTGCAATAAGCTTTTCTCTTTACATAGTGCTCCTGTCTCTTTTAAAGATATAGACGATCCGTTAGCAGGAATTTTAACAGATGAAGAAGATGAGCCAAAGAAACCAAAGAAAGTGGCGGTATCTGGACAAAAACATAGCCCCTTAAAGGTTGGTCTGCAGCCACAGAAAGAGGAGAAAGGTATTGAGAAACTGTGTGCCCTTATGAAAACACTTTGACTTTTCATTTTGACAAAATGATAAATGCTGTGATTTGGAGGATTGTGACTTTTGAGGCATTTGTACTATTAAATGCTCAGTCTCTTAAATGGTACAATGTACGTGCAGTGATGATAGCCTTATTGGTTTTCACTTTCGTTATGAGTAGATTATACTTTATTTTTCTCGCCATGGTACCCTTCCCTTGTCTGGCAGATTCAGACAGTCCTTGGTCAAGTTGGTTAACAAGTAACTGATATTATTTAGTTTGCAATTTCATCCCAAAGGAAATTTTTAATTGCTGGATAGTAAATGGGACCTAATCTGCACCCAGATCTTTTAGCTAATTCTTTCTCTGGGAAGTCCGTTCCCTGGTTGAGTACATTTTGTTTTTTAGATGGCCATTCAGATTGTACATTTAAGATTGTACGTTGCTCTGAGTGTGTGTTTTCATACAAAATGATTCCAGAAGATCCCCATACCCTGAAAACAGGGAAGGGCCATTGAGCTTCCAGATTAATTTCCAAGCACCTTGACTCTTCTGGTCAACCTACTATGGAAAGGATACTGTTAACCTAGAAAGAGTGCAGAAAAGATTTACCAGGATACTACCTGGACTGGAAGGTTTGAGTTCTAAGGAGAGGCTGGGTAGGCTGAGACTTTTATCCCTGGAGCATAGGAGACTGAGGGGTGACCTTATAGAGATCTATAAAATCACGAGAGGCATAAATAAGGTAGATAGCTGATGGCTTTTCCCCATGGTAGGGGAATCTAAAACCAGAGATCATTAGGTTTATGGTGAGAGGGAAAAGATACAAAAGGGTCCGGGGGCAATTTTTTTCACCCGGTGGTGTGTGTCTGGAATGGGTGCCAGAGGTCGTGGTGGAAGTGAGTACAATTTTGTCATTTAAGAAACATTTAGACAGGTACATGGATGGGTTAGGTATGAAGGGATATGGACGGAATGCAGGCAAATGGGACTAGTTTAAATTGTGAAAACTAGGCTGAATGGACAGGTTGCGCTGAAGGCCCTCCATGACTCTATGACCCTAGTCCTTCTGATGATACTGCAACGACTTACATTTATATGGTGTTATTAATCTACTAACACAACACAAGGTATTTCACAGGAGCCTAATTAATCAGAAACTGACAGTCACCTGCTCTAATGCCTCCTTTTTGACACTAAATAGGCAAGTTTTAAGGAGTGGCTTGAAAGCATGTGGTTAGGGCCTGAAAAAATCTGATAATCTCCCGGAAAAACCTGAAGCAAAACTTCATGCAGTTTGTGCATCCCTCGGTTTGAAATTCATGCTGATCTGGGATGTGCTGTAAACCTGTGGGCCTGGTTGTTAATCAGTTTTGGGTAGGACAGAAGAATGATGGGAAACAAATTGTGACCATTGAGTCAATTCTTCCATTCATGCGTATTCTTCTTGATCTGGACACCAGATCAGGCATTGCTGATTCCTATTTCAAACCTTAACGATATTCATATCCTGCCTTAATGTATGTATACTTCTTCAGGGTCTCCTGATTTTTTTGTTTTATGTAACCAGGGTGAAGAATGAGACTTTAATTTGAAAGACCGTTTTGATATAAAGTCAAATGTTCATATACCTTTTCAAATGGATGTTAAAGATCCCATGGTATTATTTGAAGAAGAGCAGAATGTTCTTGTTTTTGCCAATATTTATTCTCAAGTGATGTTACCAACAGTAGATTGATTAATCATTTCTCATTTGCCGCTTGCCATCTGCAAAATGTTTGGCTGATTTCCCAACATTTTCAAAAGCCACATTTGGCTGTGAAGACCTTTGTGCTATATGAATGCAACTTCTTTCTTTAGTTGACTTGTCACCCAGGGCCATAATGAGCGCAGTACCTAAAGTGTTAGATTGGCATGCCATTCTTGAGGGTGCGCTAGCTTTACTGATCTGTGACTGTTTAATGCAGCATTGCTGTGGGCTGGTAAAGCGATGAGGGGTTGATTAGAAAAAATATCCAATATTGGCTACAGGTGAGCTTGGTCTAAGGGATCAGAGAGTTTAGAAAGTTCATCATTCCCAAATTTCTTCTAATCCTGTGAATATTTGTGTTTGTTTCTCACAGTGCCCTCCAGTTCTGCTTCTGTTTCAACTGTAACCACATCAAAGAAGAAGGATGAATTGTTCTTCGACGATGAAGGAGATGACTTTATTGATGCACTTGGATTTGGTGACAGTCCAAAAATACACAAGGCAGAGCAAAAACTGGAGGAGTAAGTGTGTGCTGGGGAGGTCCTGACTATTCCAATAGTGTGTGGTCAAGCCCTTACTAATGACAGACTGCAACTGAAGTGACTCAGAGGCATCTCTGTGGACCTCCTTGAACTGGGCTCAATTGAGGCCGAAACAAACTGTCAGACACCTACCCTGTAGCAGGGTTGTCCTGCTAGCCCAACTTCCATTCTGCAAGAGTGGCTGAATGTGGGCGGGAGCTGAAGAATGCGTGCACCAACTGGCAGAGATAATTTTAGGTCCCACTCCACCTCTTATGAAGTTTCGCTTAATATCTGACAAAGGCATGATTGACACTTTCCCTGTGAATTATTTAATTAATTTGAGATAGTTTTGTCAGCATTCCTGGTTTAATTACGTTTTTAAATTGATGGTTACTTGAGACAATGCCTTGATTTACTGTGTCTTCAAAGACAGCTCCTCTGCTGTAATGGACTGTTGGCCTAGATTATGTGCTTAAATCTAGAAGTGGCCGTATATTTTCGGTCTTTTAACTATGAGGGGAGAGCTATACTGGGCAGAATCTAGTGAAGTTCATAGACCAGAAAACAAAATGGTGGGATTGCAAAATTGTGCAGAATGTGAAACACCGACTTCCTGATGACGGGATGAAAGTTGGGAAGTAAAATGGTAGTAGATTAAAGGCTGTCTTGATTCCCAGTGGCATGCAGCCAAGAGAATCAATTTTAACATTGTGTCATGGATAGTCATTGAAATGCATGGCTGCCAGTTTAAATTGAACCTTTGCAATTGATTTGACAGAAAATGAGAAACGTGTACCTTCAGATTCATAAGTGGTTAAAGTTGATGTGCATCTGGCAAAGACTGGTTTTCCTGGTGGATTTAGAGCAAATAGGAATTGATTTTACTTTCATGGAGAACTTTATTCCAGGGAACAGGACGCTGAACTGTCGCAATAAGTTCAGGTAGCATCTGTCCAGAACATGGCTTTTCATGGGAGGAAAATTGGATAGCTGTGAACCTAGTAATGGTTGTGTGAGGTCCAGAGGAGACAAGATGATAGAGGATCAATCTCTACCAAAGGTATTTCGGGCAAGGGTGAGCGAGGGCAGGTCAATGAGGTTGGGAGCCATTATGTGGAGGTGCCGGTGTTGGACTGGGTGGACAAGGTCAGAAATCACTCGACACCAGGTTATAGTCCAATGGAGGCACGGTGGCTCAGTGGTTAATGCTGCTGCCTCACAGCACCAGGAACCCAGGTTCGATTGCACCTTTGGGTGACTGTCTGCGTGGAGTTTGCACATTCTCCCCGTGCCTGTGTGGGTTTCCTCCAGGTGCTCTGGTTTCCTCCCACAGTCCAAATATGTGCAGGGTAGGTGGATTGGCCAAGCTAAATTGTCTATAGTGTTCAGGGATGTGTAAATTAGGTGGGTTGTAGGAGGATGGGTCTGGGTGGGATGCTCTGAGGATGGTGTGGACTTGTTGGGCCGAAGGGCCTGCTTCCACACTGCAGGGATTCTGAGTTTTATTTGAAAATGTGAGTTTTTCGGAGCCCTATACATTCGTCAGGTGTTGGAGAGGTAGAATCAGACAAACAATGTATAAGTAAAAGATCAAAGGTTCACACCGTTGATGAAAATAGACTAAACAAGCCTAAGAAGCTGTTAAATCTTTAATCAGTTAGAAGGTTTTAATTGATTAATCTGCATATGTAAATGCACGAATTCCTTTCACGTCACGGTCCTAAGAGAACTAAAGGTTTTATCAATGTAAAGAAGAGGTTACATTTTAGGTCAGACATTGCATGTTACATGTGAGGCCTTGTTTAGAATCTGTTTGTGTTTTACGTTGGAGTCAGACTGGTTTTATTTCTAAAATAGGAATTTGTAAAACACGACATTAACTGTCTATAAATTGTGGGCTTTTTGTACAAAATAAAGTGTATCTGCAAATACAAGTTGTGTGTGTTGTATGAGAGGGTGGGAGGTGGGAGGTGGGAGGGAGTGTGAGTGGTGGAGAGAGAGGGACTGTGTGTGTGGGCGGGGGGGAAGAGAGAGGGACTGTGCGTGTGCGTGTGGTGGCGGGGAAGAGAGAGGGACTGCGCGTGTGCGTGTGGTGGCGGGGAAGAGAGAGGGACTGCGCACGTGCATATGAGGCGGGGGAAGAGAGAGGGACTGTGCCTGTGAGACTGTATAGTGTGGTGGGGTCGTGAACCTGAGATCCCGATTGAGACTGTCCTCATGGGTACCGAACTTGGCTTTCAGCTTCTGCTCAGTGACTCTGTGTTGTGTATCCCAAAGTCCGCCTTGGAGGACGTTTACCCGAAGATCTGAGGCCATGTGTCCTTGATGCTGAAGTGTTCCTCCACTGGAAGTGAACATCCCTGTTTGACGATTGTTGTGCGGTGTCCATTCATCTGTTGTCATAGCGTCTGCACGGTTTCGCCAATATACCATGCCTTGGGGCGTCCTTGCCTGCAGCATATAAGGTAGACAATGTTGGCTGAGTCCCACGAGTATGTACTGTGCACGTGGTGGATGGTGTTCCCACGTGTGATGGTAGTGTCCATGTCGATGATCTGATATGTCTTGCAGAGTTTACCATGACAGCGTTGTGTGGTGTTGTGGTCGATGTTGTCCTGAGGCTGGGTATTTTGCTGCAAGCAATGGTCTATTTAAGGTTTGGCAGTTGTTTGAAGGCGAGAAGTGGAGGCGTAGGGAAGATCTTGGTGAGGTGCTCATTGTCATTGGTGATGTGTTGAAGGCTACGAAGAACATGGCGTAGTTTCTCCGCTCCCAGGAAGTACTGGATGTTGAAGGGTACTCTATCGGTCGTATCCTGTGTCTGTCTTCTGAGGAGGTCATTACGGTTTTTCGCTATGGCTTGTTGGAACTGGCGATTGTTGAGTTGAGTATTGTATCCCGTTCCTATGAGGGCGTCCTTCAACACCTTCAGGTGTCTGTCTTGTTCCTCCTCATCAGAACAGATTCTGTGTATGCGTAGGGCTTGTCCGTAGGCAATGGCTGTTTTAATATGTTTCAGATAGAAGCTAGGTTGGGAGAGTCAGAGAATAACTGGAGGCAGGTCAAAGGTGATAGTGATAGAGAATGGTGGTTTGCAAGTTAGGTGTAAGGGGAGGGGAACCTCATGTTGATGGGGGTGGGAGAGCTCATGTTGATGTACTAGGAAAGAGCACCTGCTGTTTGTGGATGGCCTGAGGGGAACCTGCAGGGAGGTACCATGGGGCTGATCGTGTAGAGCCATGTGTCCCCTTTTTGAATGTAGTGACAAGTGATTGGCATCCACACGTGTGTGGTGTGATAGCAGCTCCAGTTCAAGATCCTCCTCTCAAACATGTAGAATAATGCAGCTAGCTTGCAGGAAATATGTGCTGACCAGACCTTCAGTCCCTGTCATTCCCTTTGCTCAGTTGGCTGCTCCCCTCGTCTCTTTGGCTGGCTAATTGGCTGGCCACTGAATCAGTTGTCCCATCTCTGAGTGAAAGTCCAGCTCACCTCTGATACCACCATTAAGACATTTACTGTTGCAACAAGACCCCACCCACTAAAATCTTATTGAATAGTGCAGCTGGTTCAAAGGCTGATTGGCCTACTTCTACTCTTAGTTCGAACATCTGTAAGTGACCAAAGCTGTCAAGAATGTGCTATTGTAGTACAGGATTATACTGAGTTTATTTTAGCCTGCATGCTTTCATTTCACTTGGCTCTTTTCTGTGTTAGTGAGACACCACGCCCTGCTCGCTCAAAGATGGATGAACTGTTGGGGAGGGGAACAGCTAAGAAACTCCTTGAACGACCTACAACTGGAGAAAGAAAAGAATTTAAACTAGATCCAAAATACAAAAAAACACAAGGTAATCCTGGTCACAGTTTGTGCATCCAGAACGTACACGATATGCTCAGCGTGATTTAGGGAAATGGAAGCCTTTTTGAATAATTTTCTTATTAGCTTAACTGAGAAGATGGCGGAGGCAATGGCCTTGTGGTATTATCGATATATTATTGATCCAGAAACTCAACTAATGCTCTGGGGCCTTGGTTTGAATTCTGCTACAGCAGAAGGTGGAATTTAAACTCAATAAAATATCTGAATTAACCATACACTGATGAGCATAAAACCATTGTTGTTAGCTTTTATTAATTCATTCACGAAATGAGGTCGTCGCTGGCTAGGCAGCATTTGTTGCCCATCCTTAATTACCCAGTGGGCAGTTAAGAGTCAACCAGATTACTGTGGGCCTGGAGTCACATGTAGGCCAGACCAGGTAAGGATGACAGTTTCCTTCCCTAAAGGACATGAGTGAACCAGATGGGTTTTTCGGCAATGGATTCACGGTCAGCATTAAATTCTTAATTCCAGGTATTTATTGAATTCAGATTCCACCATCTGTTGTGGCGGGATTCGAACCCAGGTCCCCAGACGTTATCTGTGTCTCTGGATTAACAGCCCAGTGATAATACCACTAGGCCATGTTGGGGAAAAAAACCCATCTGATTCAGTAATGTCCTTCAAGGAAGGTAATCTGCCATCTTCATCTGATTTGGCCTACATATGACTCTAGATCCACAGCAATGTGATTGGCTCTCAACTTCCCTCTGAAATAGGGAAGCAAGCCACTTAGTTGTATCAATCGCTAAGAAGGAGTTAGTTGCTATAATGATTCTGCAGTAGGTGGAGAAGAAACCAATAAGAGGGCAAAACATACTTGACCTCAGCTTCACCAATCTGCTGGCTGCAGATACATTTGTCCATGTCGATATTGGTAAGAGTGACCACCACACAGTCCCTGTGGAGACAAAGTCCCGCCTTCACACTGAGAATACTCTCCATCATGTTGTCACTATCACTGTGCTAAATGTGACAGACTTTGAACAGATCCAGCAACTCAAGACTGAATTTTAGGGAACCCCTGATCCCAAAGCAGCAATTTCCTGTTTTCACATATGTAAACTAATTTTGTATCCAGATATCCATGCCTTTTACCTTGAATTTTGTGAGTAAACCTAATACTTTATCAAATTCCTTTTGGAAATCCATCTGCGCAATGTACAAACCTGATGGAAAATGTTGTCACATTTATTGCTTCATTTCAGTGTAGTTTTCCTCATCAGCTACCCTTGTGATTTGTCTCCAGATTGGGAAGGGAAGGTCCATCCTAATTACTCTGTAAAGTAGTGGTCTTCTGTAGGGAGTTTTTTGCGACTGAGTTACTTACTAGAAGAGAAAATGTATAACAGAAGTGGGGAGAAGCTCCAGTTGAATATGAGAGCTCCAGTTGAATATGAGGTGCTGGGCAGTGTCTTTTAATTAGATGGCAGTCAGTAATTGATTATCTTTTTGGCTCTTGCTTAGAAAAAGAAGACTTTTTGGATGACTTCACCTTTGGTTCCTACCAGCCCACTGTGGCCACCACCCCAGAGGATCGTCAGTCCAGACGTCAGTCAGTGAGGTACCTCATTCCCCCTGACAACCTGAAAAGAATATTTATTGTTCCTATCAAAATAAGTGTACTAGTTTGCCATTCTGCATCAGTTTGTCGCTGTGAGCCAGTTAAACAAAAATTGTTTTTAGTTTTTTGTTTTTTGAGCCAGATCTGAGGAAGGGTCACCAGACCTGAAACATTAACTCTGATTTTTTTTCTTCACAGATGCTGCCAGATCTGCTGAGTTTTTCCAACAACTTCTGTTTTTGTTCCTGATTTACAGCGTCTGCAGTTCTTTCAGTTTTTAAACAAAAATTGGCTCGGCTTGCAGCACACTCAAGACAGTCGTTTGCTGCGTTGAAATTTGTTTCAGCCAATTTAAAAGCCAGGGCCGTTCATTCAGAAATAAATAAGTCATCATCCAAGAAGGGTGAGATCACTTGAGACCCTGTAATTTTAAAACATGTCAGTTGAAATGATAGTCATAAGATCAGCTCCAGCTTGTCCCTCATGTCAAGCCTTGGTCTTGATTGGTACCACAGCCTCTTTCCTTCCTTCATGTGAGGAAGAATCTCACTGTTGCCACATGCGAGGTAAATTTGGTTTAGCAGAGTGAGTGTTGTACAGTGAAGCTGCATTGTGCTGTGATTTTTCTTGCAATGACTGTGATGTATTTGAATGATTTTGTTTTCTTTGAACTGATCTTTCTCCTGCAGATTTAGCCCTGAGGGTGATCGAAACTCCATTATTGATCAGAAATCCAAAGAGATCACACCGACACAGACGACCCCAACATCAGCCCGTGGAAACAAAGGGGCTGCCGATTGGTTGGGGCTGAAAGATGATGTCACTCCAGATCTAGATAATCAAGTGCCAATCAAAGATGAGCAGAAAGGAATGTTCTACAAAGCAAAGTCTGATTCAAATCTTCCAGCCAGTCACAACCAGAGCAAGAGGCCTTACTCAGCTGACCGTCCCCCATCTGCATCGAAACCAAATGACAAAGCACTGGTCAGATCTGCACCATCCACATCAAAAACAGACTTCTCTGGTGCAGAAGAAGACGATTGGCTGAAGGAGGCATTAGCTCGAAAAAAGTCTCAAACCACAGAATCCCATGCCCTGGCATCAAGTAATGAAATTGATGTGGCGACGGGCTCATGGTAAGGATCTGGCTGAGGAACACAGGAACAGGATTGGGCCATTCAGCCCATCAAGCCTACTCTGCAATTCAATATGATGGGCGGCATGGTGGCTCACTGCTGCCTCACAGCGCCAGAGATCCAGGTTCCATTCCAGTCTGGGGCAATTGTCTGTATGGGGTTTACACATTCTCCCTGTGTCTGCATAGGTTTCTGCCAGGTGCTGTGTTTTCCAACCCACAGGTTGGGTGGATTGGCCATGCTAAATCGCTCCACGGTATCCAGTGGAGATGGACTAACCATGTTAAATATGGAGTTATAAGGACTGGGTAGGGTGCTGGGTCTGGGTGGGTGCTCTTCAGAGGGTTGGTGCAGACTCGATGGGCTGAATTGTCTCTTTCTGCCCTGGAGGGATTCTATGATGGCTGATATTCATTTCAATGCCTTCTTCCCCCACATGCTTTAAGTAATTGGTATTTAGAAGTTTGTCAGTCTCTAAATATACTCAATGACTAAGCTTCCATGGTCCTCTGGCGAAGATAATTACAAAGATTCTGGGACTTTTGATTAAAAAAGACACTTCTCACCTCACATGCGAAATGCTTTCTCCCTTCTTCAGACCAGGGAAAACATCTTGCCTGAATCTACCCTGTCTACGCTTATAAGTATTAAGTATGTTTCAATGAGATTGGCTGTCATTGTTCAAAATTCTACGGAATACAGGCCCAGTTTCACTGGTCTCTCTTCATTTGACTTGGGATAACTGGAAAGTCATTATTAATGCTGAAAAATCCTGACAGATGGAGCATAAAATGAGGTCATAAATTGACAACCTTTTACTCCAAGATTAAGACAGAGATGAGGAGCAATTTCTTCTCTGAGGATAGTGAATCTGTGGAATTCTTTATGGCAGAGGGCTATCAAGGCTGGAGCGTTAAGTATACTTGAGTCAGATTGTTAAATTTTTAATCAGTAAAGGAATCGAGGGTTAAGGGAAAAAGGCACCAAAGTGGAGTTGAGTATTATCAGATCAGTTACGATCTAATTGAATGGCGGAGCAGACCTGATGGGCCAAATGGCCTAGCTAGTTCTGCTCCTATGTCTTATGGCCTTAGTAAGCTGTTTGATGAGACTCGCTGTTGAAGCAAGCTTTCCTGCCTGTTAATGTCTAATGCCCACTCCTGCATGTGTAGTTGTAATATGTAATTGCTCAATCTATGAAAGGTGCTGGATTTCCTGTCCCCGTTGAGTTATTGAAATGTTTCCTTGTTGTAGTAAAAAGAGTGGATCACCTGGTGCGCATGAACCATCCATAATTGCCACGGTAAAGGAACCTGCAACTGAGAGTAATGCTGTGGAATCTAGGGACACTAGGTAGGTGGGACATCTTCAGAGCTACTTGACACTTTATTCTTGGAAACAGTGGTGTGAAATAGTGGAGAAAAAAGATTTGAAATAATCGCTTCCTCAGGCTTTGTTCATAAACTGGCACAGTATTAAACCAGTTATGGTTCTGTGTCTGGGCGCATGTGTGTATGTTGTTTATCACCTGTCACAGTAGACTCAAAGACAAATGATTACAGCACGCAAGAAGCCAGTCAGCGTGCAGTCTGAATGCAAGAACAATTCACCTGGTATCACTCCTCTGCCTTTTCCCTCTGGCACTGCGTATATTTCCATTTCAGATATGCTTTGAAAGCCATCATTGAATTTGTTTATACCACGCCAGTAGGCAATGCATTCTGGCTTCTAACAACGTAGAAAAGGTTTTACCTCATGTTGTCATTGCTATTTTTATCAGTTAATGACCTTTGATTCTCGACTTTCCACCAGTGGGAATAGTTTCTCCTGATTTACTTTGTCCAGACCCTCATAATTTTGACCATTTTAATCATATCTCTTCTCAATCTTCTTTTCTCCAAAAAGAACAGTCCCAACTTCTCCAGCTATCCAGAAAACTGATGTTTCTCATTTCTGGAACTGTTTTGTGAACCTTTCTGCACCATCTCTAATGCCTTCACATCCTTCATAAAGTGTTATATCCAGAATTGGAGGCAGCACTCGGATTGAAACCAAATCACTATTTTATCGTAACCTCCTTGCATTTGTACTCCGTCACTATTTCCAAAGTCCAGGATTCCATATGCTTTATTAACTGCTTTCTTAACCTGCTCTGCCACTTTCAATGATTTGAGTATGTTTGTACCTTGATACCTCTGCTCCTGCACTGTTTTAAAATTGTACCCATTAGTTTATATCATCTGTCCCAAAATAGTCATTTCAGATCTCTCTGCCTTAAATTTCATCTGTCCTTTGTCTATTCATTCTGTAACCATTCACATCCTTTTGAAGTTTAACATTATCTCTTTCATAATTCACGATGCTTTCAAGTTAAATGTCACTCCCAAATTTTAAAATCATGTTCTGTACAGCAAAGTTTAGGTCATTTATATATATCAAGAGAAGCAATGGTCTTAACACACAGCACTGGGGAGCATCATTATAAGCCTTTCTTCAGTCTGAAAAACAAACGTACTCTACTTACTTTCACTTAACCAATCCCCATCAGTCTACTCCTGATCATCAGTAAGGTTTGGAAGGTGTCATCAACGATGCTATCAAGCAGCACCAGTTCAGCAACAACCTGCTCACTGATGCCCAGTTTGGATTCCGCCAGGGCCATTCAGCTCATGACCTCATTATAGCCATGGATCAAACATGGACAAAAGAGCTGAATTCCAGAGGTGAGCTGAGAGTGACAGCCTTGACTTCAAAGCTGTATTTAACCAAGTGTGGCATCAATGAGTCCTACCAAAACTGGAATCAATGGGTATCAAGGGGAAGCTCTCCATTGGCTAGAGTCATACCTGGCACAAAGGAAGATGATCGTGGTTATTAAAGGTCAGTCAACTCCGCTCCACGACATCGCTGCTGGAGTTCCTCAGGGTGGTGTTCTTAGCTCAACCATCTTCAACTGCTTCATCAATGACCTTGCCACCATCGTAAGGTCAGAAGTGGGGTTGTTCGCTGATGATTGTGCAACATTCAGCACCATTTACGACGACTCAGATACTGAAACCGCCCATGCTCAAATACAGCAAGATCTGGAACAATATCCAGGCTTGAGACTGTAGACATGCTCACTGAGCCGGTTTGTTTGATTGCAGATGTTTCATCACCCTGCTGGGTAACATCGCCAGTGCACCTCTGCTGAAGTGTTGGTGTTCTGTCCCGCTTGTTATTTATAAACCTCAGTTTTCTGGGGTGGTTGGTATTACTTCCAGTTCTGTTTTTCAGTGAAAATAACAACAAGCAGGACAGAACACCGATGCTTCACCAGAGGCGCACTGACGGTGTTACCTAGCAGGATGCGAAACGTCTGCAATCAAACATACCGGCTCGGCGAGCAAGTCTGCACCCTCCTCCGCAACGCGAGCTACAAATCTTAAAAAACTTTAAATATCCATGCTTCGGCTGAGGAGTGGCAAGTAACATTCGACCACACAAATGCCAGGCAATGACCATCTCCAATAAGTGACAATCTAACCACTGACCCTTTTGCCTTCACTAAATCTCCTATTACCAACATCCTTGAGATTACCATTGACCAGAAACTCCACTGGACTCGCCACATAAACAGTGTCTACAAAAACAGGTAACAGGCGATGAGCAATTCACCTCCTGACTCCTCAGAGTTTGTCCATAATCCACAAGGCACAAGTAAGGAGTGTGATGGAGCACTCTGCTCTTGCCTGAATGGGTGCAGCTCCAACAACACTCAATGCCAAAGCAGCCCACTTGATTAGCACCACATCCACTCCCTCCACCACCAATGCTTACTAGCAGCAGTGGTGTGTTCTAGCTACAAGATGCACTGCAGAAATTCACCAAAGAGCCATAGATATCACCTTTCAAACCCATGACCACTTCTATCTAGACGAGGATAGCTGATACATGGGGACACCACCATCTGCAATTCCCCTCCAAGCCACTCACCATCCTGCCTTGGCATTATATTGCCATTCCTTCAGTGACTCTGGATCAAATTCCTGGAATTCCCTCCCTGTGGGTCTACCTACAGCACATGGGCTGCAGCACTTCAAGAAAACAGTTCACCACCACCTTCACAAGGACAACTAGTGACAGGCAATAAGTGCTGGCTTTCCAGTGACACCCAGATTCCATGAATGAAAGAAAAATTCATATCTATGATGCTACTGTCCCTATTATTCCATGAGCTCTAACTTTTGCCCACAGGTATATAGTGTGGGATTTTATCTGATGCCTTTTGGAAGGTGTAATGTATCACATCAATACGTTAGTGCTTTCTACTCTCTTTTATCTAATCAAATAACTCAAACAGATTCTGAAATATAACTTTCCTTCACTAGTCTGCATTTAGCCAGTTGACTGAATTTTCTCCCAAATTATCATTTCTAAAATCTTCTCCACTACCAAGGTTAAACTAATTGACTTGTGGCTGCTGAGCCTATCCATACTTCACTTATGAAAAGGGTGTAACATTTGCAGTACCCCCGAATCCAAGGAGAATGACTAGATCCAGCCTGCCTTCTCTTAGTATCTATTGATGCATCTTATCCAATCCTGATGACTTATTATCTTTTAAGTAAAGCGCATCTTTCTAATACCTCCTGTTTATTCTTAACCCATCATGGGCCTCAGCTCCCTCTTTTCTCACTATGACTTGACAAGTATATATCCATGTTCTCGTGTACCACATTCATTGGAAGACTTTATCCATTGCTATTTTCTGTGTTTTGTAATTGCAGCTCCCCATTTCCATGGGAGAACGCACGCAAACAGGCTGCTCCTGCACTTGTGATCCACACATTGAAAAGCTTGGGTAATGTCGAAATGGCAGATGTGGTCGGTGAGTGAAAAATTAGATCAAGTAATCAGCGGTAACATTGCCACTGTGATACTGAGCATTAAAACCTTGCATGGCTCTGGTTCAAATTCAGGTCTATACTCGGATATGGCAGAATTTGTTGTGCTTGAATTCATCTCTGTACTAGGGGAGTAGGAGAATACTCAAGGGAAATCAGGAGGGCAAAAGGGGGACATGAGACAACCTTGGCAAATAGGGTTAAGGAGAATTCAAATACGTTAAGGACAAAAGAGTTACTAGGGAGAGAAGAGGCCACCTATATGTGGAACTCCAGGAGATGAGTGAGATATTAAATGAGTATTTTACATTAGTGTTTACTGTGGAGAAAGATATGGAAGGTAGAGAACTTGGAGAAATAAATAGTGATTTCTTGAAAAGTGTCCATATTACAGAGGAGGTGGTGCTGGACATCTTAAGATGCATAAAGGTGGATAAATCCCCTGGAACTGATCAGGGGTCCCCTAGAACTTTGTGGGAAGCTAGGAAAATGATTGCTGGCCCCCTTGCTGAGATACTTGTATCATCGATTGTCATAGGTGAGGTGCCAGAAGACTAGAAGTAGGCTAACATGGTGCCATTATTTAAGAAAGGTGGTAAGGGAAAAGCCAGGGAACTATAGACCAGTAAGCTTGCGTCAGTGATGGCTAAGTTGTTGGAGGGGATTCTGAGGGACAGGATTTACATGTATTTGGAAAGGCAAGGACTGATTAGGGATAGACAACATGGCTTTGTGCATCAGAACTCATGCCTCACTAACTTGATTGAGTTTTTCTGAAGAAGTAATGAAGAAGATTGAAGGCAGAGTGGTAGACGTTGTCTATATGGACTTCAGCAAGGTGTTTGACAAGGTTCAACATGGTAGACTAGTTAGCAAGGTTAGATCACATGGAATACAGGGAGAGCTGGCCATTTGGTTACAAAATTGGCTTGAAGGTAGGAGACAGAAGGTGGTGGTGGAGGGTTGCTTTTCAGACTGGAGTCCTGTAACCAGTGGTGTGCCACAAGGATTGATGCTGGGTTCACTGCTTTTTGTCATTTATATAAATGATTTGGATGTGAATGTAGGAGGTATGGTTAATAAATTTGCTGATGACACCAAAATAGGTGGTGTAGTGGACAGCAAAGAAGGTTACCTCTGAGTACAAGAGGACCTTGATCAGATGGGCAATTGGGCAGAGTGGCAGGTGGAGATTAATTTAGATAAATGTGATGTGTTGCATTTTGGTAGGGCAAATAAGGACAGGACTTATACATTTCATGGTAAGGTCCTGGGGAGTGTTGCTAAACGAAGAGACCTAGGGACAAAAACAAAGTTGCTGGAAAAGCTCAGCAGGTCTGGCAGCATCAGAACTAGGAAGAGACCTAGGGTGTAGATTCATGGTTCTTTAAAAGTGGAGTGCAGGTTGACAGGATGGTGAAGCAGGTGTTTTGTATGTTTGCTTTATTGGTCAGTGCATTAAGTATAGGAGTTGAGAGGTCATGTTATAGCTGTACAAGGCATTGGGTAGACCATGTTTGGAATCTTGTGTTCAATTCTGGTCTCACTGCTACAGGAAAGATGTTGTTAAATTTGAAAGGTTTCAGAAAACATTTACAATGATGTTGCCAGGGTTGGAGGGTTTGAGCTATAGGAAGAGGCTGAATAGGCTGGAGCTATTTTCCCTGGAGAATCGGAGATGACTTCAGGTTTATAAAATCATGAGGGGCATGGATGGGGTGAAATAGTCAAAGTCTTTTCCCCAGGGAAGGGGAGTCCAAAGCTAAAGGGCATAGATTTAAGGTGACAGGGGAAAAATTTAAAGGGACCTAAGGGGCAACATTTTCATGCAGAGGCTGGTGCACGTATGGAATGAGCTGCCAGAGGAAATGATGGAGACTGGTTCAATTACAACATTTAAGAGGCATCTGGATGTATATATGAATAAGGATAAGCTAAATGCTGGCAAATGGGTCTAGATTTATTTAGGATATCTGGCATGGATGAGTTGGACTGAAGGGTCTGTTTCTGTGCTGTACATTTCTGACTCTACTGCACAAGAATGGGGAAGAAAATCAGCTAAATGTCCCATTCCTAGTAACTGCATGATTCCTCCTGCAGGATCCAGTAGCTCTGTCACCGGAGGTCTAAATGAATAACCCAGATAATGCAAGTTTTATCCAGTCTGGCTTTCAAGCAACTCCAGGCCTGTACCAACATATTTGGCTCTTAACTGCCCTCTGAAATGACCTACCAAAGCCAATTAACAGCATTAAACTACCGATGGACAATAAAAACTAAATCTCACCGGGGATGGCCTCATCTCAAAAATGATTTCTTTCAGAAATTAAACACATATATGTCAGGGGAGGATATTATTTGAATGTGTACTGTGTTATGTATGGACAAATCAAGCAGTGTCAGCATGGTTTCAGGAAGGGGAAATCACCCCTGACAAATTTACTAGAATTCTTTGAGGAGGTAAGAGGGAAAGCAAAGTAATATATTTGGATTTTCAGAAGGTATCACAGAGTAGCATGGATAAAGGATTGCCTAACTAATAGAAAAGGGAGAGTTGGGATAAGGGGGGCATTTTCAGGATAGCAACCTACAACTAGTGGAGTGCCCCAGTGACTAGTACATAGAACATAGAAATAGGAGTAGGCCATTCAGCCCATTGAACCTGTTCCGTCATTCATTGAGACCATGGCTGATCTGTGGCCTAACACCATATATTGACCTTTAATACCTTTGCCTAACAAAAATAGATCTATCTCATATTTAAAATTAGCAATGGATGCAGCTTCCACTGCTGTTTGTGGAAGCGCATTCCAAACATTTACCACTCTTTCTGTTTGGAAGTACTTCCTGATGTGTCTCCTGAGCAGTCTGGCCCAAATTCCTAGGCTATGCCCCAAATGCTAGAACCTCTACACAGTACAGATAGTTTATCTTTATCTACCCTCTCTTTTCCTATTAATATTTTGAAGATTTTCATCAGATTGCCTCAAACCTTCTAAATTCTAGAGAAAATAGGCCTAATTCGTATAATCATAACTTAACCCTTGACATGCAAGTATCATTATTATAAAGCTACTTTACCCTCCAAGGCAAATATAATCTTAATAAGATGTAGTGCCCAGATCTGCTCACAGTCATCTAAGTGGGATATAATCAGAGTTTTGTCTAACTGCAGCATAACTTCTGTGTCCTTACACGTCAGTTCTCCAGATATAAAGGTCAGCATTTCACTAGATTTCTTAATTATGTTCTGCACCTGTTTGTGACATTTTTAAGATCTATATACCTGAACCCCCAAGTCTCTTTGGACATCCACTACATTAACTTCATACCATCTAGAAAGTATCCTGTTCTATCCTTTTTTGGTCTAACATGGATAACCTCACACTTGCTTACATTGAACTTCATTTGCCCGTTCACTCAGCCTATCCATATCTCTGCAGTTTTGTGCTTTCGTCTACACTGTCTAAAATGCTGCCTAACTTTGTGACATCAGAAAATTTGGTTATATGACTTTGTATGCCATTATCTAAGTTGTTAATAAATAATGTGAGCAACTGAGGCTCTAACACAGATCCTTTTGGGACACCACTGGTGACGTTGCCAATTTGACTACCTATCCATTATCCCTACTTCTGTCACCTGTCACTCAACCAATTTCCCAGCCATGTCAGTAATTTGCCCTTAATTCCACGGGCTTCTGCTTTAGTTAACTGTGTCTTATTTGGGACTTTATCAAATGCCTCTGGAAGTCCATATAAACAGCATACCCCTGTCCACTACCTTAGTCACCACTTCAAAAAGTTCAATGAGGTTTGTCAGGCATGACCTACCTGTCATGAATCCATGCTGGCTCTCCTTGATTAACTGAAAACTATCAAGGTGTTCAGTTGTTCTATCTTTGATTATAGGGTTCAAAAACTTCCCCACAACAGTTTTAGTCTGACTGGTCTGTAATTCTCTGGTTTTCCTTTCTCGCCCTTCATAAGCTGAGTGATGTAGTGTTGGAGCCATAATTATTTGCAATAGGTATTAGTGACTTGGCTGAGAAAAGTGAATGTTCTATAGCCATGTTTGTGGGTTTAAAAAAAATGGGTGAGAAGGCAAGTGCTGAGGATGATAGAGTTTACAGGAAGATATTGACAGGTTAAGCAAGTGGGCAAATCTTGGCAGATGGAATATAATGTGGGAAGATGTGAGATTATGCAGTTTGGCGGGAATAATAAAGGAACTGAATGCTTTTTAATTGGAGAAAACCTGCAGAAACGTACAAGACAGAAGGATTTGGGAGTCCTCACCCATGAATCTCAAAAAGCTAGTATCCAAGTTCAGTGGGTAATCGGGAAGACAAAAGAAATGAAGTATAAAAGTAGGACAGTTTGCTAAAACTAGTCAGACCGGGATGGAATACTGTGAACAGTTTTGGACTCTTTATCTAAGGAAAGATATACTGGCATTGGAGACAGTCCACAAGAGATTCAGTAGGCTGATTCCAGGTATGGAGGGACTGACATATGAGGTGTGATTGAATAGGTTGGGTCTGTACCCATTGGAATTCAGAAGAATGAGAGGTGACCTTATTGAAAAGTATGAGAGTCTTAGGGGATTTGACAGGACATATACAGAAGTTGTTTCCCCTTGTGGGAGAGTCTAGAACCAGAGGTCATAACTTAGAATAAGGAGTTGCACATTTAGGACAAACATGAGGAGGAATTTCTTTACTCAGACAGTTGTGAATCTTTGGAATTCTTTACAACAGAGGACTGCCAAGGCTGGATTGTTAAATATTTTCAGGGCTTAGATAGATGCATTTTTAATCAGTAAGGCAAACGAGGGTTATAGGGAAAAAGCAGGAAAGTGGAGGTGAATGTTATCAGATGAGCTATGATCTCATTGAATGGCAGAGTAGATTTGATGGGCTAAATGGTCCACTTGTGCTCCTATGTCTTATGACCTTAAAGTACACCATATAGTTGAATGGCCA